AATACTAATATTTCTCTTTATAGAAATGAAGAGAAACATTTTTTAAAAATCTATAACAATTATAGATTCAAGAACTCATCTTTAGCAGTTTCACTCCACTTTCTTTATTTTTTCTCCATAGCTTTGTAGATTAGATTATTTATATGTTTTTCCATCTTGTAATAATATTTGTGATTATAATGTATGAAATGGATAACCGTAAAAAAAGATAACTAGTCCAAATAGTTTGTTATAACAAGAAAAAAAATATTTTGGAGTCAGCTATAAATGCAATCATTATATTGCTTATAGTTTACTTTAGTTGTGATGATCTTTCAAAATTTCTACCCAAAATCTCTCAGAATGATAAACAATTAATTGTTTAGATTGTTGTTGTCAATATTAATTAAATGAGATAGTGGAAATGAATGGCAAATAACTCGGCAGATTTCTATAAACTCATTGTTTGAAGATATCAAATTGAATGTTTTGAATTTGTTATCAATTACCCAGATAATCAAAAAATATCTTGGTCAAAGGTTGTCAACACCACTAACTCTCAGTACTTCAATATCCAAGACCACCTTTCACCAAGATCAATCTTTATGTCTTGTAATCTGTGTTACTGATATACCTGCAGTATTTTTATCTCACTGCACATATTTTTCAATCCAGAATGTTTACATAGCATGTACTCAAATGTTTTTGCTTTTCGAGGATTTTATCCTATTTTGTTGAATTTGAAAAAAACCTTGCAAACATTACATTTCTTTTTCCATTCAATTTTTTTGTTTTCATTTATTTTATATTATTTGGGTGAATCTGGTATAACTTATTCTCTGGCAACATGAAAGGTTTTTCTGAAGTTTCACGTTGAAAGTAGGTAATAGCTACCTACTAATCTTGAGTCTGTAAATAGGTTTATACAGGACACAACCCTACCATACCATACCTATCTTTCCCACCTAAGAAATGATTTTATAACAAGTATAAGGATCTTTTCATCGTTTCTCAGATCAATTATGCATATTTTCATCGTGTTTACTACTACTCATATAAAATCAACAGTTTTTACTATTGGGTATTTGGAGAATATTCACATGATTTCAAAGCTTCTCGTGATTGAACTACAAAGGTCATATTTTTACTAGAAGTTCTTACATTACATAGAATGGTAATTGATTACATAGTATTTTCACCCTTAGGGGGGTGCATAAGTAAAAACAGAACCCGGAAATGAAATCAGCGATCCCGAGAAGCTCACGAAAAGCCCTGGGTACCATTTCCCACCGTCCAAACCGCATCTAATATTATTTTCCAATTTTCACCCCAACCCCAGATCCCCAATTTTCACCCCGTGGGGATGCATGAGTGACAACCGACCTCAGAAACGGATTCAGCAACCCCAAAAACTCTGAGTACTATTTCCCACCGTTCAAACCACATCCCATGTAACTTTCGAATTCCACCCCATTCCCACCCCCGAGGGGTTCAGAGCTCGCCAGGAGTCCCGAGCAAATGAAATCAAACTACCCATTTCAAGATATGACTACCCATTTCTGACTGCAATTTTGGCTCTTTTGAATGCCTGTGTCCGCTGACTTTGTTTTCTTCTATTTTTCCCCCTTCAACCCCTATCCACACCCTCGAAGGGTTGTAGCTGAGAACTTATGTAGAATTCAAAAAGAGCGGGCAATTTTACTTCAAGTATAGCATTTTCAGTCCTTTTTGGCCGGAATTGATCCTTTTTTTGGGAGGATCCGTTTACGTCCGCGTAGGCGTTAATGGGTTTTAAAATGATTTGCTACTCTGTGCCTCTGAATGTGAGCATTTCCGGACTTTGTGCCCTTAGAGACATTCGATCAGGATGGCATGAATTATAAAATTTCATCCGATTTGACCAGGAACCAATTTCTATAAGTTTAGTGCGGGGTCCTTTCACAATTCATTTTTTGCGTCGACCTCTACAAAAAATCACATGTTAGGTTCTAATTTCCGAACGAAAAACCGAATATTTCCGAAGGAAAATACTTTTCTTCCGCAAAAACTTCGTCCGGTGCAGAATTTCCAGTTCTACTGAATTTTCAGTACATCTCCTGATTTGCATATTGATCTACTGAAATATTTCATAACCTACGGAAAAATATTTTGACACTTATTTATTATTATAATTACCTATATTATTATTAATGTTTAGTTAATCACAACACTTATAAATTGCATGATATTTCGGCACGCTCTGTTAAAATTAATTTCACAAAATGAGTAATAAATTTTAGGTACTAATGATATGTATAAACCATAAAGGACAATACTTTATCTGATTCAGATCAAAAGTACACCTATGTAACTATATTTTGTGATATATGTGACTATTCCACTCTTGATCTCGAGAACCTATCAGAATCGACCATTTTCACGGTTTCTTCTGTATTCTAGCGATATTTTTTGTTTATTAAATTTTGTCGGACTTGCTCTACCAATACAGAAGCCGAATTCACCCACGCGTGACCAACAAACCTCGTTTATCAGCGATAAAATTTTGACATCGTGTCTGGTCAAGATTGCTTTGGATTCAAATCTGAGACAATAACCTTATAAGTACCTATGTACTTCATTTTATTCACTTATAATTCGCGTTAGTGAGACATTTTGTACGAAAGGCGAGACAATTTTATTCTGGCTGGACGTTTCATGTGTAATTTAAAAAGTTTGCATATTTGTTGACGGTCTGACACAACAATACTAGAATTCAAATTCCTTTTTAAAGTTATCTTCTTCAATCACTCAAGTTATTGTGACCAATATGATGTAGCTCAACTGATAGGGTTGTTGCGCGAAGATACGAAGGTCGATGGTTCGAGCCCCTCGGCGACGATATCATCTTTTGTTTAATCATTTCATGTCACAAGAATTCAATTTATTTTGTTTGAATAGCAATTGTATATACTATTTTGAGAGCAACCATCTCCAAGATAATAAAAAAAATACTGTTTATCAAACTTGTATATTCCACTTTGTGAATAACAACTATAAGTATAGGTAGTTGATTTCTAAAAAATTGAATTCTGTTTCATTACTATCATTATGTCCTTCTTCGCAGTTTGAGTTGGAATATACTTAAATTATGTTTCCTATTTCTTATATTATGTTGTCTCATTCAATCATGAAATAGTCATATGAATACAACTCGTGATACTATTTTTCCTGGAAATATTATCACTTGTGGTATTAGTATTTTTGAATTGAGAATTAGGTATATGATAATTCTTTTACGAGAATGTTTGTCTTGTTTGTTTCAATTTTGTTGGAAATAGGTTACTTTTATATTTACTGAAAGTACATAATGTTTTGACGTCATAGTTTTATTTTAATATCCTTTCTTGGAATTAGTATAGCATAAAATTGATATGAATTTTTGACAAGACATTTACTGATGAAATAAAAATATAACTGGCAACCCTGGTCCGCGCCGAGAGTGAGTTGACAACAATTGTCATTCGCTGTTGTTAAATTAATTATTCACGAAATCCGATAGATTTCACGTGTGATTAGGACCGTGATGTGGATATAAGTGTTTGAGGTCGGCGAAAAAATGTATATTGTCTCGCCTAATTGCTAGCCTCGGCTAAGGCCTTGGCTATAAATTTGCAGTCTCTACTATTCGCGATAGAAAATGAGCATACGCTACCTATCGGAGTTCTTGAAAGCTGTCAAAGCGGCATGTTTACTTCGTTTCTATTGGTTCACATTTGTTTTTTGTTTGTGCTTATTGGTCATATCATCAAAACAATCCGTTCAGAAGTGTTCAAGTTGCTGCCGTCAGGTGGGGCGACTTGTAATTTTCTATCGCGAATAGAAAAACTTGGTACATAAATAACTATTTTCTGGAGTTTACTGAACAGTGTTGGCCAACCTCATTTGTTATCAATTATAGCATAAGTCGGTGATTCCATGGCTGCTGGAGAACAGTGTATGCCACTCAAAATGACTCCTCTTTGTCACTGACTGCATTTTTGTTAATAATTCGGTAAAACTGCCTTTAGCATCCGATGGTTTTTTGTTCGAAATTTTTTTTTGGTACTTACGTATTTTTGTCTGAAAAACACGAATTTGATAATGAAAATGTGAACAAACCATTATTTATCAAGATATTAAGTTACAAATTTCACCTTCTTTTCCGCCTGTCTTCTGGATTGAATTTAAAACAATTTACCCCTTCTTTTTTCATCATTGGACAATTCATGTATATCACAATGTAAGACACAGTTTTTTCTATTATTGAGTCAACTAGAAATATGATTTTCTTGTGATTTATCCATATTAAATTTATTGAAAAGAAGGAAGAATATCATTTGAAATAATGGCGTGTGTAATGTCATTCCAAAGCAATCTATTGACATTTGACATCTGGTATTTGGATTGCCTATGGATAAAATGGCCGTCATGGTATGCTTGCTCACTAAATAGGAAAAACTCACCATAAAAATCATATTTCCTGTTGAATTTTCTGTATAAAAATGTGTCATTGAAGTACATCATGAGTATATAAAGTGTCCAATGACAAAATAAGAACAGCAAGTACCTGAAAATGAATTCAACGCAAGGGGAAAACGGAGTCGAAATTTCGATCTTTTTTTTGAAATATCTCGATAAATAGTGGTTTGTTCACATTTTCATTATCAAATACGTGTTTTTCAGACAAAAATACGTAAGTACCAAAAAAAAATTTCGAAAAAAAACCCATCGCATGCTAAAGCAGTTTTACCAATAATTCTCTAGCTTCCATAATTTTCAGACACTTATCTGGACTATTATACGATTATAAGAAAATCTTGAATTCAAATTCTCCTTCAGGAACACCATGTGGTTATTCGTGATTTAACATCCTGTATTTCGGCAATTTTCGACCTTCCTTTCAAATCATCAAAAACAATCTGTCATTCTTATTTATATTTTATATGACAGAAAGGGACTTACACATTTATTATACAAACATTTATTATACACCTTTTTTACAGAAAATCAATGAGAAAATGGCAGCCAAGAAAAAATCAAGCTCCTCATGCAGAACCCTGTCGCTGTTAGTAATAATAGCTCTGGCTGGACTGGTATTGTTTGATATCAAACAGAATACTTGGGATAGTGAGAAAAACATAACATATAATTGTCCTATAAATATCAACGAGGTATTTTGTAGATAGCAGAACACGCAAAGCTCTCAAAGATTACAGAGTATGCGAGTATAGCCAAAAAGCCCTTAATACTACAAGGGAGGGTTTGAATTGGCTGGATGGCCGAATCGAACAAAACTTTCCTGCTTTCCGCAAGACAGTGATAGATTTCTCAGAACCATATGTAGAGTTAGCGATAAGCACGGGAAAAATTACACGTAATGGTTTCTATAACATGAAAGAAGTCGTTTTAGAAAAGTATCCATTAGTTCTTCAGTCGGTGAGTTTCTCTTAGAATTGAATATCGGAAATCCATCGTCTTTTTAAATACTTTGTAGCAGATGATGTACGTTTCTTTACATTTTCAGATTGAGTCTTATGCACCTGGATTGATGGAACAGTCTCAAAAGGCTTTAAGTGATGTGTACTCTTCCTCAGTGTTATATTGTAATAGGGGCATTGATTATTTGAGGAAAGAAGTGTTTGTGTGAGTATGAACTGAAAAATTGAGGCTATTGGTATTGGTTTTCTGGTGTTTATTCTTGTTGAATATTTTATTCTGAAATTACAGTGAATACAATAAAACAGAGGCAAAAAATTGCATCTTCAAAAATGTATTAAGAATTGCATTCCATATGAATGAATGAATGAAGTTAGGTTTAAAAAAATTGAATGATAGGTACCCAAGGAAAATTGAACATACTGGGATACTGGTATATTTGATTTGTACAGAAAATTGGAATCTTCACTACATAAACTTCCTTCCTTTTAGGTACTTAATCATTCATTCTTAGTACAAATTATTTCAAGTATTCAAAGACACGAAAGTGAAGAAACATCTGACGACAATCATTATTTACTGGATTATTTGTGATGTGTTCTTTGAACATTTAAACCCACAGGGTGTTTTATTCACCAACATATCTCTGAAAGGGATAATTTTGAATATTTAACCATATATAATAATATTTTCTGTAGTCCATACTCGAAGTGGAGCGGAATGATTGAAACAGAAATGTCTGGATGTGGTCTCCACAATTATTTTTTAATGGCGAATATACCGAGTGATACATAATTATTGAACAAGGCGTCATCCGGTTGTTTTTCGTTTTAGAATTTTGATGTGTTTGGATCGAAGATATAGTTTCTTGAAACCCATATTTTCCATGAACACACAATTGACTATAATTTTCGGTTTCACCGAAAATAGACCTAGGTCGAGGATTTTTAATGGAACCCTGTAGATGTTTACGCCCTTCGATAGATCGAGAAATTAACTTTTCAATGACATATACGGAGACATCTCTAAATCAATATGGCGACACTGTGACGTCATCGATAAATTTTGAATGAACGAAATGGGTTGTAGATCTTTGAAGATATAATCACTTGCATACTAGATAATATTTACCCTTGAATCTGTATCCTTCAGCAAGAATGCACAATATTCAATTGTTATACCTTCTTGCTTGTATCTCACTTGCATCTTTTATTGACATTAGTTAATTTAATTTTAGTGGCCAGTTATCCCCTGAAAACGTTCAGAGAGTAGTCATTGAGGCGTTCAACACAACACAACAAAAAGCTACTGAATATTATCACTGGATTTATAAAAAGGTCCAAACTACCATCAAATAAATATGAACTGATATTTAGGTTATCCAATTATTTGAAAAGTAAATAGTAATTTAGGGCTCCTACCACCATCTTATCTATTGTCAATCATTAATTATTGGGATGACGCTACCAATTCTGATTTAAGCATTGTTAAAAAAACTTAGCAGGACCTATAGATCCTACAAATCAAAATCGAAAAATGTATTGGTAAAAACTTAATCTGTAAGCTGAAGTAAAATATTTCTTTCACGGCATTCCAGAACAATAAATATTATCATATACCTGACGATTAAAGTGAACTGATCTATTGTCATGACTAGTACTAGTATGGCCTTTATATATTTGTTTCGGTGGTGGTGATGGTGCTAGATATTATAGCCGTATTGTAATTTATTTCAGGAATAAATGGTTTATTATGTGGAAAAACTATCTATTTATATTGAATTTTTTATACCATCGTTTCTTTATAAAATTGAATGTAGGTTATAATTTTTATCAGTCAAAATAAACGACTTCAGTACAAAAATGTATAATTTATTCATTTTTCATTTGGAAAAAATAATGACAAAGTATTTTGGTATATTTTTTCACATAAAATACTGGTATCTTCATTTCTGACTCCTGCGACAATATCAAGGACTTGCCTGGAAGAGATCATGAGAGTGGATCGAAAACAAACTGATGAAAATGTGAAAAAAAAACAAAAAAAGTTCAGAACATTAATGGTCTTTAAAAAAACTGGAAGCATGTATAAGCATAAGTTAACATTATATGAAACTATTGATGATGCTGCAATAACGTCTATTCACGGTCGATTGGACTAAAAGCGTTACAAACCACAGATACATAGTTTTAAATGGAACACCCTGTTTTGATTTCATTGAGAAACGGAAATACTTTACAGTGGATGAATGGCACCCAAGTGATTATTCATAAATTAATCAAAATATATCACCAGCAAAAAAAATTACAGGAATCGTAAATTGATGTTTTGAAAATATGTTGGTTTCTTTTTACCATAATCAGACAAGAATAAAAAAGTTACAGGGCGACCAATTCTTAAAGTTACAAGACACATCATAAATATTTGAAAACAAATTGCAAAAACATTGATAAACAACAATTCATGACAAATACAAGATAGTTATTTATTCATAATATAGATATATGTATACCGGGTCTTCTATAATCGGCTCGCCAAACTACAGGAGCACCTCGTGATTAAAAAAATGGGAAAACAATTTCATATCGTCGTGAATTGAAAAATGGCTCCTATGAGAGCTATGGCCACGAAGGGGGCTCCTGATGATGGTTTTCCATGAATATTTCCAAAACGCCATTTTCTATTAGTCCAATAACCAAAGGTACCAACCATGACATTAGATAATATATCCCAGACTTTATTTTTTTTTAATTCAAAAAAATCCACCAGGAAATGACTGGAGGGGTGGCAAAATAGCTCTATTCCATGTAGCTATAATATCGTATTACTTTTTCCTTTTTTAATTTTTCTAGAATATTGAAAAATCTGGCCAAAATTTGTTTTTGCTCGTTGTTCCTGCTCATCAACCCATTGCTTTCAGGCTAAAACCTGAAACACTTTAACTGCAAACAAGACGATAACACTAGCAGAAAATTTAGTTTTCAAAAAACATTAGGGAAACCAGCTCTAAATTGTAATGTATCTGCTAGGCATTTAGGGTAACATCGACATTTTTGGATGATGGAGCAAAGTGGACCATTTATTTTGCCAATTTTCACTCAGTGATGCATTTTGGCATTATCTTCTGGGCAGGAAGTAGCCTGGCAGAATTGGCAGAAAGTATTCTTAAGCTACAAAAAACCATCAGGATTTTGCTACTTTTGCTTCAACTCAACTACAAAGAATCATGTATAGGTAAATTCAATTTATTATAATGACCATGTCAGGGACCTATATGTATGAATGCTTAATGTTTCTTTTTAAAAATCAAAATAAATTTGAATCTCCTAAGGTACGACATAGTTTAAATACATGAAATCATACAATATCCCAATCCAAAGACTGTCATCAATAGAAAAGACTCCAGCGTATGTGAGTATCCGGCTTTTCAATGAATGGCCAATATCAGTCAAACAGGAAGTTTACATAAAAGTATTTTTCTACTCACATACCTAAAATGACATTTAGCGTACGGATATCTACCACGCTAAACGATCGATTAATCACGGATTGTCGATCTGTGATTTATTCAAAATACTAAACACGTTACCATGGAAACACGATTTCTTAATCACATTACCATGGCAATACAGTTCTTTAAACCTGTCAACTGTTATTTTCAAATTTTGTATCAGAATTATTCAAACAATATTCGTTTGTATCATAATTCTTCATTAAAAATATATTCGAAATGTGGACAAAAGTGAAATTGAAGAGAATGCTCTGGTACTTGCATTTCTCGTAGAAGTGTAAAAATGAAGCATCCATCTTTGAGAACAATTTATTTATTCTGCGCTAACCATGACAATAAACGTGAAACAAAGGTTAGTAAGCAATGGACTGGACACATCTACAACCAATATCACTTATACGTGTGTCGCTGGTTGCATGCAGTTGCATGTATTATGTTCTCAATTTCCATTCCTTTCGAATTATTTTGTAGGTAAGCAGGAATAGCAGGTATGTTAATGTGATTTTCGGAGTTCGTAGAAAAAGCATAGTATGTAACGCGTTTATAAACTCTTCTAGACACTCGTTTATTAAACACACGCTCCGCTCTGCTCCGCTCGTGCTTAAAATACTCGTTACTAAAAGGACATTTATGACACTTGTTACATAATATACTATTTTTTATTCAAGAGTAGTTTCACCGAATTCTCCTGGATACTGGGGCTGTGATAGGTAGTGTATGTATTCCAAAAGAATCAATAGTTTTGTGTATTTTTATAAACAATGTGTTTTTCTTGCGACGTTTTTTTTTATTTCCGGAATTTTCGAAAATGCTCTGATCTATCGATAATTGATAAATGTGACAGATTGATGATTGAGAATAGTGAAAACAAGGTATTTTCTTACCAAATTCTGTCCTGCAATGTACTGCAAAGATTTTCCAATTTTTTCATTTCCTTTGCAGGTCAGAGTTTTTGGAAAATGAAATTCATTATTGAAAGATATGTTAGCAATTGTACAGATATGGAAAATGAAACAACCTTTTTTGCAAGAAATATTAGTAAGTGCAGTAAAAAAGATCCTTAGTGCAAGTGTTGTAGGTAATGACCTAGCCAAACATCACTTCTTCAAGTGTCATATTTCTGAGGATATAAGCCAAAAACGGCTTTTCCGGATATAGAAATTAATATAGCCTTGAATATCTATGAGTTAAGGAGAGAGTTTGGGATCTATCTGATGTTAAGGTTCATTTCTGCATCATATGTCATTCTCCTGTACTTCAGGTCATTTCTGGTGAACATTTTTTCAGAAATCAATGTACCCATGAATAAGTTCAAGTTGAGAGAAAAAAGTTTGGAATCTATCTGATGTCAAGGTTCAGGGGTTCTAAATATTAATAATAAGAATATCTGATTCTATAATCAGCAGTTACCTGATATTATTAGGTTCATTTCTACCCTTAACCATGTTATTTGGTGTCCATTTTTCTTTCTTTACACTAGGAATAGATCGATTTTCCTCAGAGATGAAACAGTATCCTGCATGGGATGGCTTAATTTCACACCAAGGACAGTCTGTTTCTAAAATAATTCTATCAGATGGTAATGTTTCAACTGTTCTTAGATTATCTTTGGTTTTCAAAGAGCTGAAAAGTGAGAACTAACTATTATGAAGGTCATGTGATCATAATACAAATATTATCTTACCATCCATTTAATCCAATAAATAATCCAAGATCAATAAAACGTTTTGCTTCTACTACTGAGCCATCAAAGCTATGTACAACTCCTCTTAATTTTGGATATTTAACAAGAATTTCATACAAATCATCTGCTGCATTTCGACAGTGTAAGAAGAGAGGCAAATTAACAGTTTCACACATTGTCAACTGTAGCTCAAAATATCTACAATTAAATATCTTTTTTTTTTTCAGTTTGATAAAAAATGGTTTTGCTTTTCACCTTTTCTGTACATCCTTTGAACAGAATTTCAGTCTATCATAATCTAACCCACATTCACCTAGGGCTACTACTTTGTTTTTTCCTACTGATATCAGATTTTTCAGCTGTTCTAAATATCCAGCTGGAGATTCTCCATTTTCTTCAAACTCACCACACCTTGTTGGATGACAACCAACTGTACAATACAACCGATCTAGGGAAACAATAATGACTTAAAAACCTGTATGAAATGTGCACACTGTGCTTAAAAGTCACTTAACTGCTTAAACTTTAAACCAGTGTGTCATTATCATTAGTTCAAGCCTTAAGCTTACCTACCCTCATTTTGGGCAAGTTCTAGGGCCTTTTTACTCTCTTGAACATTACCACCTGTTAAAATAATTTTACATAGACCGGCATCCCAACTCCTTTTGAGAACTTCTTGAATATCAGATTCATGTTTCATGCTGCCATTATAGACCCCTGTATACATAGCGTCTGTTAGGTTAGCCCCAATATCTAAAAATATGAAAATATAACAGGATAGGTATACTCCTTTGTGATTGAAAAAATGTAGGTACCAATAAACTTTCTAAATGTAGCCATTTCCTATTCACACTCTATTATGAAGTTTCTGTTCTTGTATCGATAATGATAAACTATGAAATGTATTTAGAGTCCCGACCTGCAGCGTGCAAGAACTGTCAGATGATCGACCCTGGAGGTAAAATATTGAAACATAACCTCACTTTTCTTATTTGTTTACAAATGATTGAAATAGTTTTACACAATAATTTTGGCATATGAATCGTGTTTTTCGGCTGCTCATTAATTCTCGCATGCCATCACATTGTGCTGTTGTACAATGCACAAAAAATGCAGCGAGAGACGAAGGAATCCGGTTGGTACATTATGATTTAAAAGTAAGTACCTACCATAGTTTTCATTTTGAAATTTGGAAAATTCTCTGATTGCTCATCGGAATTCCTTCTGCAATAGGAGCTAATAGAAATACTCGTGGAATTTCTACAAGAATGCAAGAAGATTGAATCCATCCAATCGAACGGTAGGAGGCAGGACTGGTCTGACATGCTGACGAAATATGATCGTGTGTGTTGTAGATATTTTCAATCTATTGTTTCTTGTTTCTCAGTATTGATGGCCTAATCAATTTCAAGATATTTCTTCACATCCCTTGTCAGCATGAAGTTATCCACCATGAATCCATCATTAGGTTCAGACTTCCCAATAACATTTTCTTTATTAAAAAATGCTTTATCAGTAGCTCAACCTCCATGTTTCTGTAATGTGTCTGTACAACAGGAGCACTGAGGAACATAACATATCTTTCTAGATTTCTGTTTTCAGTCTTTTGTACTTGCTGCATGTTTTGGGAAAATAGTGAACTATCTCGTGGATACAAAAACATATTTGAAAACTTCAAAATTTATCAAAATTCACTGGATTGCACAATGCTAAATTTGTTTGTTTTGTTTATCACCTCCGCAATTTTCATTTTGCCGTTCGACAAAAGACGACTGGGGAAACAGTGACGTCAGGCCAGGTGAATATGAGGCAACCTTATAGAGTTGGATTCGTATGCCCAAATAATTGTGAAAAACTATTTCGATCACTTGTAAACAAATAATAAAAGTGAGGTTGTGTTTCAATGTTTCACCTCCAGGGTCGGTCATCTGACAGTTCTAGCTTCATATATGAGTAGTAGATATAAGATTTTGATTCTGTTCTATGTTCCATCTGTCATTGCCTCTTGTGAGTTGCGTTTTGAGTTTTGTTTTGTTTTTTGACCCATCTGACCTGACCCTCTTACGAAGGCGTAGAGAGGCCACCAACTTATTTTTATTCCAATTCCGAGTTGTAACTCGGAATTCCGACTTGCAACTCAGAATTCCGAGTTGCAACTCGGAATTCCGACTTGTAACTCAGAATTCCGAGTTGTAACTCGGAATTCCGACTTACAACACAGAATTCCGAGTTGTAACTCGGAATTCCGACTTGTAACTCGGAATTCCGACTTACAACACAGAATTCCGAGTTGTAACTCGGAATTCCGACTTGTAACTCGGAATTCCGACTTGCAACTCAGAATTCCGAGTTGTAACTCGGAATTATCTCGTGTGTACCACGTGTGGTGTACTAAAGTACTGAATAATGACTATAATGAATTAACATGTGATGTAAATCAGGACCATTTGCTATTTGCTTAGTGTTTTCACATTCCTAATATGAGAAAATCTGTGCTTTAATAAGCATATCACCCACAGATAAACGACCTAGCAAGAAGAAAAAGGGAACTTTGATAAGAAACTAATGGATATGTATCAGATAGTTCATAACAGGTACCTAGGAAAAGAGTTTTCTACTGACCTACTTGAACTGATGAATTCAGTTTTTCCTGTAATTGAAAACTTTCATTTTGCATGAAGTGAATCAAAACTTGATGGTCCAATACAGAGTTTGGAAACAACATATTTTCAATACAAACATAATATAAAAAGATAAATATCACCCATCTTGGGTCCCATAGCAGCATATGAGTCATCAATCTCTAGGCCATTCAAAATGCAAGACTGATGTGGATCGAAAATTGATAGCAATCATGCATCAGAACCAAGAGACCTGGTATGTTCTCAAGAAAACATCTAATTATCTACCTACTTTACTTCAATCATAAATTCTTGCTTCCTTGCTAAACTTGGTATCTAGGTATGTTCATTAAATTATGTAACATTTCATATTTTATAGTGTAATGAAGAAAGTGTCCTGGGAAATGAAGACAGAAGAGATAATTGGTGAAAATCAAGGTGAACATCTGATCAATTATTGTTGTTATTCTACAATTACAGTTTCATCCAACTCCAAATAAGTTGCTGTTGAATATTTTGTATTATACTACTTATACATAGTTTGTTGTGATTTATTGATATCTATTATAAAAAAAGATGAATATAGTAAGTAAGTATATCAAAATTGTACCTATTTAATAAATGAAAAATATATTATTTCACAGAAGGTAATATTAAGGTAATATATATTACAAAAGATCTACATGTCATGGAAAGATGTTCATAGAACATTTATTTCATATTCAGTGATCTGATTGAAACAAATATAAACAATGATCAAATGATAATTATATAAATACATATTTTTTATGGAACTAATCAAATACAAAACTACATACAGAATTCACAAAATGCTGAGACTGGTGTACCTAAAATACCTACAAATTCAAAAAGGAACCATATGATTTCACATTCATCATTGTCACAATTACTTAATCATATCATATAGTAGTTCCAGGTTCCATCATCAGCACTTTAACATTTGCAAAAATAGTCCATTTTTGTAGAAACTTCACTTCTGCTGAAATGAAAGTTCAGGCTCAGGCATCACAACTTCAGCGGAATTCTGAGTTACAACTCGGGATTCCGAGTTACAACTCGGAATTCTGAGTTGCAAGTCGAAATTCCGAGTTACAAGTCGGAATTCCGAGTTACAACTCGGAATTCTGTGTTGTAAGTCGGAATTCCGTGTTACAAGTCGGAATTCCGAGTTACAACTCGGAATTCCGAGTTACAACTCGGAATTCTGAGTTACAAGTCGGAATTCCGAGTTGCAACTCGGAATTCTGAGTTGCAAGTCGGAATTCCGAGTTACAACTCGGAATTGGAATAAAAATAAGTTGGTGGCCTCTCTACGCCTTCGTACCCTCTGATTGACGCTCCAGAGAAATGAATGTTAACCTAGTAAATAGAAATTTTCAAAATCATTGTATATTTTACAAAGTCTTCAAAACTGTGTTGAATCAAAATTTGAATACATGTCGATGTTTAGCTGTGCCAGTTGAAGAACCCAGACGTTATTTTTGTCCTAGTACTAGGACGAAGTTCGTAAACAGTTTTGCTGCTAGGCTAAAGAGATGCTATTCAACAGACAAACCTGCTCCACCGTCCAACAAATTACCTCCTCTTTCTCCAGATTTTCGAATAGTGTGGCCTTCCTTAATCAAATCAATAAAAAATTTCATACTTACAACCTTCATTATAAAACCATATTTAGACAGAGATTTCAATTTGTCTGATTTTGTATCTGGATCCAAAAGAGCAGTAGAGGTAATTTTTCATGTAAATTCGTCATTGGATATATAATTAGCTTTTTTTAAAGGTAGTATCCAATAAATTGTCACAAGGTGATTATGGGTCTTTGGAAGGTTTAGTCACAAAGGATATAATTCCCACTCTTCAAAAAACAATCTCTTTGATGTCACTTGGTCAAAGAGAACAATTAGCAATAAATGTAGAGGACATTTATTTTTCCTTCCCATACCAAGTAAGTTGATACTCATTATTTGAATTCATCTTGGCAGGATACATTTTCTGTTGGAAAATGTTTTATGTTACCTATTGTTGCTCACATTGAAGTGATTACATTTTGAATATCAATGACTTTTTAGGTTGGAATTATATTTGATGATGAGGAAAACAAGGATCAGAAAAGATTTGTGGAGATAACAATGGTTTACCATTCTCTAAAAGGTCTGTCTACTATGAGATCTAGAGGTGATGACCCCCCTTTGAATATGGGCATGATGCCAGAATACCAAAAAAATATTTCTATATCAAATTATAGATTTATCAGAGAATTCACCAAAGGAGTGGAAGGTGATTGGACAGTCAACCTTATGAATCATTTCAGACCTATTGATGAAGAAACTCAAGAATAAGAAGTGCTTTGAGTTCAATATTTTCAATACACATTTTGAGAGTAATTATAGATAAAGCAAGAGATAAAGGCAATCATCTGAATTCTGTTGATGTCTTTCATTATCAATGATATTCCTGATTGACAGAATAATACTGAGGAGTTTTATAGGGAGTCAAAAACAAAATTAAATTACCCATTGATTGAATTAAATCAACAATTCAATGATTTGGAGATTTTCATATTTTCCAATCTTCATTCTTGAATAAAAGTTTCCATAGAAGCAGGATCATAGAAGTCAAAATCGAACTAAACCCTTGATTATATACACTAAACATAGTTTTTTATGAGGCATAGGCAAAGCCTGCAAGTCCTGTATAAGGTTTACCAACATTTCAAGACAATAGACACCCATGATTATTTTTCATGTTATCATACTTTACTTGCCCTATTTCACCCATCAGATTCAATTCTTATGTAAGCAATGCTAATTGAAAGTTATAAGATGTTTTTAAAAAAATATACAGAATGTTCAGAATGACTGGCCCGGCTGGCCTATTATGAATGCCCAAGGACAAAGGATTATTTTCTCAAAAACTTCCTCTACCTCATTTTCTTTGGTATGTTGTTTCAGAAAATTGAACTTTTCATAATTAAAATTTATAACTATCTTGAAAAATATGTTGAGGCAAATAATTATCCATACATGGGTTCTGGCGTTACCACCGATACAACAAGGCCAGCAGACTCAGGCGTAAACAGCTCGTGACGTCTCCAAGAGAGGCCAGTGTTTTATTTTATCGCTTGTCGACTAACGCATCAGTTCCTGTTAATTAATCGGTGATTCACGTATGTTTTTGAAACGGTCCCGAATTCTTTTGTTGTTTATTCATCAAAATAATTGGCGGAAAAATTACTGTTTTGTGAAATTTTTTGTGTTGTGATCGGCGAAATAACAATGCCTTTCAAGTGTTGTGTTCCCTTTTGTGAGGGAATTACGTGGGTGGTTCAAAAGTTCATGCTAGTTTTCCGTTGGACGAGGAGCTATCAAAAATGTGGGTAGGTATATGCAATTCACCGCGAGGATTTACTCCATATAAGTTCAGTAGTAAACAGAGCTCAATTTATAATGATGAATTAATAATAGAAGACAATTACTATCTCTCATAAAAAGTATAAGTAGAGGAAAAATAGAAAAGCTTTGTTGTGCAGTTAGTTTTGTATTCGTATATTATATAGTCAACAAAATCATCTCTGAATTCGATGAAATTTTCTTGAATGTTCATAATAAACGGGCATTTTTAATTCTCGTGGCATTGAATGCAGAATTCATTCCAATGATCAAATTGCAACTATCATATTAACATGAACTACAAACACTCTACTTAAAAAGGTAATCATGAAGATATTTGACTAAAAAGTTCCAAATTTCACCTGTCTTCTGGATGGCATTTAGAACAAATTTCCCTTCTTTTTTCATCATATTGGACAATTTATATATAATTCAATTATAAATATGCTTTTCTTGAGATTAATCCATATTTAGTGAAAAGAAGAAAGAATATCATTCAAAATAATGGCGTGTGTAATGTCTTTCGAAAGCAATCTATTGACATTTGACATCTCGTATTTTGATTGACTATTGATTAAATGGTCGTCATCTGGAATGCTTGGTCACTAAATATGAAAAACTCGCCATAAAAATCATATTTCCTGTTGAATTTTCTATATAAAAATGTGCCATCGAAGTACATCATGAGTATATAAAGTGTCCAATGACAAAATAAGAGCAAGTACCTTCAAATGCCCCCAACACAAGGGGAGAAAGAAGACGAAATTTCGAACTTTTTCTTGAAATATCTATAAATAAATAGTGGTTTGTTCACATTTTCATTATAAAATTCGGTTTATCAGACAAAAATACGTGAGTACCTACCGAAAAAAAATTTCAAAAAAAAACCATCGCATGATAAATGCAGTTTTACCCTTAAAAATTACGGTTTCAAGTGTAACGATCCACTTGGGTGAAAAATCCAACAACAGAAAATTGAAAACACTCACTGGTTATTTTTTCAGGTAATAGGAATTTTCCAAGATAAATATAGGTAATTGTAACAAACGGCGTGTCAATCAAAATAAAATACATTTTCCACAATTTTCTTTCCATTAATCTCACGATAAGTTTATGTTCTGCGGGCCCTGTATAAGTAGGTGTGATGTTTACCTTCACCACAATTTTTGCCAATATATTTAATTCGAATGGGTTGCTGTATAGGTGGATATTTGTGTTTTATCCTGGTTTTTGCTTTAAAACTTCGTTTTTCCATAATAAAATCGAATGGGGTGCGAAGAAGGGCTCAGTTGACGACTGGCATCCTTTTTTAACCGGAAGCCCTTCAAAAAACAGCAAAATCGGCTCAATGATGATCTAAAACTAAAATCGAAATACGCGGTCGCCTTATAGCGCTATAAGCGCTTGTCGTTTCGAGCCGCTGGTTAGGCCTGACTAAGTGACGTCACCCACGGAGCATGCAGGCCTTGTTGAATCGGTGGTAACGGTTCTGGACAAACAGTGCCTGTCTAAAGTCCTCTTCCCCCCATACTAATTTTTGAACCACCTAGTATATCGCATCGAGATTTGGAGGGCTTCAATGGGATATAAAGACCTACTTTTTCATGAGAAAATTTCCAAATGGCGGCTGAGCACCATCTTCAATATTTTTTTAATTAACTAGAACACCCCGTATATTATTCCATTCTCGAAATTTGCTCATATTCCTCAACAGTTTTTTGAATACACTTTACTCCACTTCTACCAAAGATTAAAGAATGAACTATTATATGATGGCTTCCTTATATTATGTTTTATCTGGTGTTTTATTCAACGACAGGACTCTAATCTATTTGATAAATTGATTATAATTTCTGACTTGCGACAACCTTGCTTAATGAGTGGAAATGGAAGATTATCTGATCAATAATGAAACAGCATAAAAACTGACGTTGAAATGAAAATGAGCTCTGATATTCAACAATTTTGAACAACGCATATAGACTCATTATTTACATAAAAAAGCGTGAATTCATTATCAGTCCAGGTGCAGGAAGTTTGAGATGTATAACGCTGGTATTTTGGAGTTCGAATTGTATTCCATGCCGATTATTTTTCGAGCAACATTACTATGAAAATGGAAATGATTCTAAATTTCTGATTGGTAGTCAATTTTACGTTCTGATTGGTTCAAAATCATACGAAGAATATTCAGGATAATAATGAATGAACATTGTTTCACTATATCAAAAGCAACCTTCATGATATTGGGTCTTTTTTTTAGTTTAGGGACAGTGGGATCACTGATTTTCAATTTAAAGGCGTTAAATCTTGAAATACGAAGATTGTCGCATACCGCCGAACATTTTTATGAGTAAAAAAAAAATAGTATAAAAATTGAGAAAACGAATGTTGTTGGACACTGAGTGAAGAGAATTGGAAAAAAAAACCTGGACTCCAAACATTTATTTGATCAACCTAACAGTAGCATCTTATTACACATGTCCACACAAAAAGGATATCTATCAGAGCAGTATCTGCGAAATCACCCGACACCACTATTGTAAGATAGCGTATGAAAGTTATTCATTTCACAAGCGTCTCTCGACAGCCCGATTCATTTCCTAGAGATGATGTGGGTTGGAGCAATACACTCTCAACTTTTTTTACATGTTCCTACTGATGTATTTTATGCAATGATCATCACCTCCATTGACCTGCTATCAAAAGTAATTTCATTTTTACTTGAACTACTTTGTTGTTAGGTTAATTGGTTTGGAAGGATAGTTTACCGGCCGGAAGAATGTTTCAAGACAAAACTGGAAAATGCTCTTGAGCTGTCTAAAGACGCTTATTGTTTTGTTCCATGTAGAGTTCCTTCCTCATATTTGGAATAATAATAAAAAATAGATGAAAGTTGAAGTTATTGTAGGGAGGATTGAGAGGATATACCAGCTGTGCTGAACAAAGCCGCCACTACAGAACCATTTCAGTGGATTTGAAGTTCAAACACAATTGAATCTTCATTGACATATGAATTTTATATTCGGCTGCTCAGAATTTTTTATTTGGTTATGTTTCAAAAAGTGACTGAGCCATGTTAAAACCAGGAGTTGTGTCAGCTTCATCATTTCAAATACAGCCCAGTATATTACTATACAAACTTTTGGTCTATTAACAAAAAATACCTGCCTACCTGTATTGTAAATGTAAAAATAGTTATTTATTATACAAGGGAAAAAAGTAGTAGATTTTAGCTCCAGGTTGTGTTCTCGTGAGCTAAAATCTAATATTTTTCCCGTGTATAATACACTTTTTTTTTCTGTGACAGAAGAAAGGACGTATCAATATTGAAAAGATATTACATTATTTTGAAATCTGGAAATTATCGACGTGAAATTTTAAGTTTTCAACAGTAGGGACACCTGCGTTGTAGGCATCTATATTATTCTATTGAAGTAATCAAATATCTGATGTCACTTCTGTCAGTCTAATTCTGTGTTTTGATTTCCAAAAAATTGCGAATTTAGTGGTTGTTTAGTAATATACGTAACCGCGAAGTCGAATGGAAGATAAAAGGACTTGCAGTTCTTTCTCGGAGACGGTATTATTGACTCATTTTTCGGAACTATTGCACAACAAAAGCCATCAACAGTGAATATATATATGTGATATATATCCGGAATAAAAGAACTCACTTTTATCCCACGGGAAAAAAGTAATTATGAAAAGTGACATTTTATAACCTGCCAACAGAGATGAAATGCCTAACTTTTTTCCCGTCACAGAAAAAACAAAATTCTTTTATTCCTATAATGCATTTTTATCTGTGATTTAATAAAAATTGTTTTCTAACATTATAGCCCCATTTCTGCAAATCTCAAATACAATTAGTTAGGTACATAGAACTGCTGGCCTCCATGCAATTTTGATATCAAATTATACTTCAAAATACACTGACAAACATTTTGGAAAAAATACATCACCAGATGATATTTTTACAATCAACGATTTTTTATTATTCCATAAATGAACAGAGGACATCCCTGAAAAAGTACAGAAATCACCATTATATATAGTAATAACTGAAAAACAATAATTTGGTAGCATGATCACATTCACCAAATCATTGAATACTGAATGAAACAATGACCACAGAAAAATTCATTCCAAAGTTACTATACCTAAATAAATACCTAATAATTACGATATATTTACAGTACACAATCTTATCACCTTCAATCTACATTTTAGGACAGAATATCATGAGAGAATTCCACAAACAACCTAGTATGTACAGTTTTATCATAGGGTTCAAGAACTTTAAACAAAGCAAATAGAGTGTTAGTGTTTATGTACAATTCCAACAGATGAACCTAAAACTAAGCAAGATCATCTCTAACATTTTCTTCAATTACTCTGCTGAAATTCTCATGTTGCTTGTGGCTAATCAGATAATACATCCATTTTCTGATATAAAACGTTTAATAGTGGGAAAAATCAAGTTTAGTTAGTTTAGAAAATAAAAATATGTGAAACTATTCAGGTACCAAACGAATAAACAGTGATTCATAGGAAAAGGCGCAAAGTTGAATTATAAACAAATGATATCAAAATTCGTTATAAGAGCTAATAAAATCAGTGGAATCTCCAAGCAAATCCGAACTCTAGTAGCACCATGGGGGCATTATTCAAGTTCAATTTGCAAAATAACTCCGCACATGAAAATTTGTAGATTTACATAATTATATCTCATACAGAATACGCTGGTGCAAATAATTATACTGAAAACTGAAATATGAAATATCATCATTCAATATTGTATCAGCATTTAAATTTTCCTCCTTCTGGTTAATACCCAATCAGAAAAACGAATAAACAAAGAAGATTAAGACATTGTCCAGTGAAACCATACATTATTGTATACAGGGTTTCCCATGTCATGGATCAAAATAAGTGGGGTGGTATATTATGATTGTTGATGGTTCAAATGATGAATTTTTTTCATTTTCATAAAAAGAATTAATTACAATAAAACTGTCACATTTGTGATTTTTTCTTTTACAAATTTCATCCACATGGATGCACCTTTCCCCAGAAATAATTTTATGACATGTGTTACTTCTTATCAATCACCTGAGAGAAATGTTGTTTTTCTCCAGTTTTGTCATTGAATGAGTTGATTTTAAAATGCCGCTGGCAGAGTTAAAGACTACCCCACAAAGATAACCGATTTTAAGAATAAGTTGCTCATTCAAAACAGCCTTCTTGTTATTATTTTTTTCCAAATGGCTCGCATTTTTCAGAAAAATTGACCAACTCTTGAACTACCTATCAACAATTTGATAACCACATATGAAGTTTATGCAAAGTCAGTTGAACGCAGATCATCAAACGATGTTGGGCCGCGCTGCCGCACTCTTTGAACTTTCAAAGGGACCGACGGTTTGCGGTGTTGTGTTTTTCCAAGTGATTTTGCATAAACTATGCCATTAGTTTGATTGCAAATGACCGCCCTACTTCTTTGATCCATTTTTTATGGGACACCCTATATATACAACGTGATCTATATCAACATACGGAAAAGACTCATGTACAGGGTAATGGGTACCAACTCCGTTATTTTCAATTGAACACCATATATATTCTTCCAAATTCTTTAAGATCTTTCTTTATAAATTTCAAAAATATATAGGTCCAGCCGTTTATGAAATATTCGAGGTCGAACATTTTAGAATTAGTTAGTTTCTGTCATATTTTTCTTGCATAACATTTTGGAAGTAACATGGGTTCCAGTAGTTTCAGTGACTATAAAAATTTTTACAAAAATAACAATAATGCAACGGAAGTTCCAGCAGTCAACATATAGGGTGTCCCATTGAAAATGACAAAGTTGGTTTTTTATATCAGCGATATTCTTTTGTTTCACCTCCTACAATTTTCTGGAGGTTCAAAATAAACCCTACAACTTTTGTATTTGAAGTTTTTTCTTATCTTCAATGAACCCTGTACAAGCTGTTTAAATATTCGGAATGACCCTGCACAGCTGTCCCATTTTCGATGTCCTTACAGGATATCTCACTTATTTATGAAGATAAAGATTTGCGGTGTTGAACGTTGACTACTTTTTGTGAAAGTCACGCAACCAAAATGTTCATAGCCCGCTTCGTTTTTGAGATACAGGGCGAAATTGAAAATGTTGTAATTTGGAACCCCCTTGTATCCCTGTTTTTGTTGAGTATTAGCAACGTCCATGTGCGTCATATTTCCCGAAAGATTGTACTCAATTGCCGAATTTGTTCATACCCACAAAGCGCAGAATTTGCTATTGCCCAGAATGTTGGCAACTTTTTTTATTCATTATTTCAGAAAATTTACAAAATTATTCCCATTAATGAAGGAACAAAGGTGTAAAAACATATATTTTTGTTTGTTTCCCACATGTTTTTCATTCTTCAATGTTAAGTTAGTACACACAATATGTTCTATGCAAATAGCGATTTCCAGAACGTGCAGTGAGTATAAGACAGTGGCGGCTCCACAGAGGAAGCAACGGAGGCTGAGCCTCCTCAGAGATTTTCCTCAAACTAATATTATTTATACTTTTTCATTAAAAGCACACCAAAATACATGGATTTTGATTTTATTTCCTGTTTTTAGTTAAATATTTTTAAATTGGCAACAGTGCTTGCCCACGCATCACACGTTGAAGTCTGCAAATCACGCGTAAAATATTCAACTTGGCAACATCTATAGGAGGCTAGACTCCTTCACATCGCGCAACCTACGCGCGCAATGCGAATGCCCGAATACGCCCGAATAGCACGTGTTTGTCGTGTCGCTTCGCGAATTGCGGACAAACGCGAGTACATTGTTTATGTTTGGTTAATGATTAGGAGCTCTATAAATTTCTGAAAAATGAGTGTTTTAAACGATTGCGATTTAGTGGAATACTTTTTGGTGACCCATTCAATGCTTTGTCTTATGAAGATAAATTGATTGTGAAAAACAAACGTCCGACACCGAAATTGAAAAAATCAACCGATAAGTCATCATGTTGGGGGCGATTAGGATATAATGATTTGAAAAATTTGCCTCGCGGATTGGATAGACACTGCAAATCACAGGAACACATCTCTTCAAGTATTAAGTTCAGGTTAACCGGTAAACAGAATGTCATTAAAGCTATCGATTTGGGTGAGTAGAGAGTTGTTTTTCACAATAAATCTCATATCATTCAGCCTCCTCTGTCATGAAAGTCACGAGCCGCCACTGGTATAAGACTCAACCATTTGCCGAATTAGACAATAATTCAACAAACCATTCATATACACTGATTATTGCATATCACTATTAAAGAATACCACACTACAACAGAATACTCTAACAATAACTTGAAAATTGTAGCAATTTAGTAAGTTGATTTTCTTGATTCAACTGTCGAAATATTTCGTTATTTTTGGGGAATAAGAACTTTGATCAATACTGACCAACATGATAATTTTTTTAACAGATGATTTTTAGACTGAATAACGTTAATTGAAATGAAAAATTATCTGAGGAAACAACCAACCAACCAAACTCAACCTCAACTTGAAAAAGTTAAACTTCCATCTCAGGGGGTACAATAAAAAATGAAACAAACGATCCTAAAATTTGTAATAAGAAACAAAATATAGTAATATTTAAACTAGGACGAATTCTTGTACCTACTAAAATAGTAGCTAATAAAAAATCATTTTATATAAAATTATCGACTATACATCTAAAATAAAGAGTAATCCCGTTCTCAATAAAACAAAAAAATATTTATATAGAAACAAACTACCCCTCAAATATACAAGGTTTCCAATATATATATTTTTTAGATACATCACAATTCCCCGTTACCACTGTCATTGTCATCCTCTTCAGCATATTCCGATCCGTCAGATAAATCATCATACTCCTCATCATAATCATCATCATAGAAGTCTGTCATCTCGACTTGGGGTTCGGAGGTATTAGGTTTGACCCTCGTTTTGATGCAATAGTCTTCTAGAGTGAGCGGCACTTTCATACCATCCCGTTCTGCTTCCACTCGAGCTGCCATAGCTTGTTTTCTAAAACGAGATACTCCCTTCAAACACTTCCAAGGACAATAAAATATCGTTGAAAAGGGAAAAGAACAACAGTCATATTCATGGAGTACGGAATGAACCATGACCCATTTTATCTTTTGATGAAATTCAGTTGACAGTTGATTAAAGGATTGCATCCGCATCAAACACTCATAAACTTATTCCACTGAGATTGTACTTTTCAATAGATAGAACCAAAACGACAGAAATACCAAACTTGTATCTATGAGGATTAAGATGTATTTGTGTTTCCATGACATATTGGTAATGAATTCGAGATGGAAATCAGAATGGAAAAAGTGGGTATCTAAAAGATTTTGTCATTTTCACAATATGATTGTATTTCTACATTTAAATTAACTGCCCTAGATAATAAAGCAAAAATAAGTCTATCATATTTTTCACTCATAATTTATCTCCATCACACTCAAGGTGTCAAAATAAAATTGACTCAAAAAAATCGAGTAGGCTCATTTTGTCTTCATAATCTCAAGAAACAAAGCATGTGAATATACAGGATGTTTAATTTGAATGCCATAGTTAAGGCGAAAATACATTTTTTCATTGATTGAAAATCGGACTTTCGACAAACGCCGGTTTTCGATGAGGTCATGCGCCTTCCGGGACAGAGCATAACCAGATATTTCGACGTTGCCAAATTTATAACTAGTAATTACCCTACGAGAGTCAATATCACCAACGACAACAGCATTTTCATTCGCAGAAGACAATATGGCCACCTAGTTCCTGATAATCACTCATTTATTACTTATATACCTTGCAAGATGCATCAGTGTCACTAGTGTCAGTCATAATATCCAAATATTCCTTATTATGATTGTATTTGCACCCAAACTATTTTGTAAATCTGGCAACAGCGTAATGCTAGAGTTCATACAAATATTAATGGAGAAGAATTATTCTAACCTAACCTTCTAATGTCAGTCTCGTCTGTCACCATCATCTTCAAAACCTATCATCTAGTCAAATCTAGAGCCACTGGATGGTTTAACTCTAGTCAAATCCATGGTCAAATTTAACAAATACTGTGAATATTCGAAGAAAATCCTCATGAAAATAGAACCTTTTCATTTTCGACAGCGCTTTTGCCTTCCATTGTTTCAATAATGATCAAGTTACGCAGAGTTTCTTCAGCGTCCTATGAAAGAATTTAACTTTCCTCTTGGAGGATTGGCACGGCAGCGAGGAAAGAAGTTCTAGATATAACTCTCTCGTCAGAAAAAGCATGTGATAATATCGTCAACTGGCATGTGTCAGATGAACCTTCGTGTTCTGACCATAGACAAATAAGATTTGATATAATTACCCCACCTCGTACCTTAACAAAGTACAGAAACCCCAGAGAGACCAACTGGGAAGGATACGCAACATCACTCAGAGAATCTCTACAAAGGACCACGGCTGACATAAGGGACAGCCACAGTCTTGAGAGGTCAGTAGACCAAGTAAGCAAGGCAATAGTTGCCGCCTACGAAGGTAACTGCCCGGAAAAAACAAGACAACAAAGCAATAAAACAATCTGGTGGAACAAGCATCTCGAAACCCTACGAGGGGAGGTGCGAAGGCTATTCAACAAAGCAAAACTCGACCAGAATTGGACCACATATAAGGTTAAACTCACGCAGTACAACAAAGAGATTAGGAAATCGAAAAGGCAATCGTGGAAAAAGTTCTGTGAGGAGGTCACAGAAACCCCCACATGTTCAAGGATCCACAAAGTGCTAGCCAAAGAAGGTACTGTAAACCAAGTAGGTTTTCTGAAGAAGAATGACAATACCTACACAGCAACTTTTGAGGAGAGTCTGAAAATGCTCACTGAAGCACACTTTCCGGCCTCAGTAATTCTAAATGAGCCGATAGTGGCAGACAGCACCATTGGCAGGCCGAATAGGCCAACTGCCATAGAATGGAGGCTAGCTACAGAGATATCGAGGCCAAACAGAATTAGGTGGGCTATTAATAAATTTAAACCTTATAAATCCCCTGGAGTAGATGGAATATACCCCATCCTGCTTCAAAAGGGGCAGGAAATACTAATTCCACACTTGTGTCATATATTCAAGGCTTGTATAGCAATACGATATATACCCATAGTATGGCAGAAGGTGACAGTCATCTACCTTCCCAAAGTGGGAAAGGTGGGTGACAAAACGCCAAAATCATACCGCCCAATAAGTCTAATGTCGTTCCTGCTCAAAACGCTGGAAAGACTGATAGACAGATACATAAGAGACGAGGTATTACAAAGAAACCCGCTCAACGAACGCCAATATGCGTATCAGCCAGGCAAGTCAACTGACTTAGCACTGGATGATCTGAACAGGCTACTCGCAAAGTCGATAGAGGACAAAGAAATAGCTATAACAACATTCGTAGACATAGAAGGTGCTTTCAATAACGCATCAACAAATTCTATAATTAATGCCCTAGCAAGGAAAGGAGTACCGATACTCCTGTGCCAGTGGATAAATGTCAATTTGAAAAATAGGGTTATCATATCCACAATTGGCGAGACAACTCTGACAGCTAGAGCAGATAGGGGATGCCCACAGGGAGGAGTATTATCACCCCTACTATGGGCCATTCTAATGGACGAACTGATCAAAAGGCTAACATCCAAAGGGTATTATTGCTTAGGATATGCCGACGACCTGGCGGTTATCGCTAGAGGTAGATTCGCAAGTACGGTCTCGGAGCTCACACAAATCGCTCTAAACATAATTGACAATTGGTGTAAAGAGGAGGAACTCACCGTGAACCCTCATAAAACCACTATAGTGAATTTCACGAAAAAGAGAGTACTGGAAGGATTAAAGTCACCAGTACTCAACGGGGTAGAAATTCCGTTCGCCCTAGAGGCAAAATACTTAGGAGTCATCTTTGACCATAAGTTAACATGGAATCAACACCTACAAAAAATTGTTCAATTAAGTACAGTAGCCTTCAATCTGTGCAGACGAATGTGCGGGAAAAATTGGGGACTGCAACCAAAAATGACCACATGGCTCTATGCCAGCGTCATCAGGCCTATGATAGCATATGGGTCAGTAGTTTGGTGGCCAAAGACACAACAGGCTGGAGTGATTCGAAGGCTCAGTGCTATTCAAAGGCAAGCTTGCCTGAGTGCCACTGGTGCAATGAAAACCACTCCAACAGCCGCTTTAGAGGTCCTCTTGAACCTACCACCACTACAAATATATATTCAAGGCGAAGCCAGAGCAGTCGTGAGTAGATTGTCAAGGGGTCAAGCACCCATAAGCAACGCGCACGGTAAAGACTATAGAAAGCTATATGAAGAGTTGGAAAGCGACCCCATCATGGGAATGCCAACGGATGGCATAATTCCAAAATATAGCTTTGAAAAAACTTTTAAAATAAGTATAACGGACAGAGAGGCATGGAAGGAAGGACCTCCTATCAATGCAGACATTGCTGTCTATACGGACGGCTCCAAAACTGAGTTTGGATCAGGAGCCGGTATTTATGGGGCCAAGCCAAAGACAAGAATCTCACTGAGCTTAGGTAAATACGCGACGGTGTTTCAGGCAGAAATTATTGCAATACATCATTGCGTGAAAGAATTGATAAGGCAAGAGTTTAAAGGCAAAACCATTGCAATCTATTCAGACAGCCAGGCGGCAATCAAAGCAGTCAACTCTATGCAAGTTAACTCAAAACTAGTATGGGACTGCTTAGAAACCCTAAATGCACTGGGCAGTCAGAACAGACTGACTCTAGCATGGGTACCAGCACATACAGGGTACGAGGGCAATGAAGAGGCAGACTCACTTGCCCGAGCAGGAGCAAACAAAGCTCTGAATGGCCCAGAACCCTTCTGTGGTATTGCGAAAGCTATACAAAAGACTAGTATCAAATCATGGATGCAAACCAAATCTCAAGAATGGTGGAACAAATCGCCAGGAATGAGACAGGCAAAAGAGTTTATTAAAAAACCATCGCCAACATTCACAGAATATCTACTAAGCCAGAAACGAAGTTCAACTAGAATACTAGTGGGACTTCTCACAGGGCATTGTAGGCTCAACAAACACATGAGTACGATAGGTCTGACTGAAGAACTGCTGTGCAGGTTCTGTCAGGAAGAGGAGGAAACAGCAGTACACATACTTTGCCACTGTGAGGGCTTGTCAAGACTAAGGTTCCTTACGCTGGGTGAGGAAAAACCAGAAGCCCAGAGATACACAGGGGATCTGAAAGCTAGCCTATGGAGTCTCATAGAGAAGACGGGGCTAGCCGAAGAACTCTAATCGATTTTGAGGGCAGACACAATAGATCTGAAAAGGTCGCGGTGTGGAGGCAGATAGCCCGAAGGCCCCATTCTAAATCTAAATCTAAATCTAATCTGGAGGATTGGGCTTTTTGCCTTCCTCCAAATTCCTCTTACATCACTCCAATATTAATACAAATAATAAATGATGATTAATTAATAACTTTTTCGCCTTCACGATGCATTGAAGTAATTTCCACGTGAGTACAACCTTCTTATCTATGGTTCTCCATTTTGTTTTTCAGAATTTTTGATTTGATAAAAATTTTGTTTTTCACTTTTTATTATCAATTACTGATCAATTATCATTGTATAATCATAAAAATCACTGTTGCTCTCTGATCTAACTGAAATTTTTTAATCAATTCAATTTGAATTTACAACTGTTGTGTTTTCCATTTTCAATTTTTCTTATATATAAAATCATGTTTGGTTTTCTATTGTAGATACACTTTGTTATAATTTTTGACTGAAGATGGCCATTTGAATGGCCGAAACATGTATCAACTTTAATGAAGCAGGATTGACTGCCTGATTATACATTAAAAATTGTGGAGACGACTTTGGGTTTTTCTCTATTGATCATTCCACTCCACTTTGAGTATGGACTACTACAGAAGAAAGTTATATTTCTCCCCCACCTCATCAAACTCAGTTTTTCCAACGATCATTCACTTATAACGTATTCAAATTATTTACTGAACTGCCACATGGAATGAAATCTTTGAAACCGGATACTTTTAAAAAATCATACAAGAATCGTGTCATGAAATCCTGAACTATATACATGAAGTATTAACTGATTTTCAATCTTAAACAGCCAACTTGGTAACATTTACATTGCGGAAATATTTAATTTTTTTAATTTATATAATTCCAGGGGTTGAACTAGGATCAATTTTAATTGTTTTCAACCCCTTTTTGCAACTAATATTGATCATGCGATTCATGAAATGTATTATGCATATTTATAGTTGTGATTAAATTTTCATTATTATATGGAGCAACCAACCTTATGATATTCTCATATTCCTTGTCTCTGCCTTTGGAGTCTCTCCAACGCCGGTACATGACAGAAGCATCGACGTTAGCAGGGCTGAAGGTGTTGGGTTCGTTCAAGAGGGAAATCACCGAGAGCAGGATAGTGCGCACATTCTGTGTGGGGTTCCAGCGTTCGCAGGGCAATTCTCCCGATTGCGGATCATCAACTGGTGGGTGCAAGATGCTAATACAGAGGTCTCCGTTCTGCACAATCATGAACATGTCAATTTAGACCAAGCAATCTAGAGAATAAATAGTAGTTTGAAAAACTAAAGAAATACCCTTTTATAGATAGCCAAACTAGAAAGAAGTGTTTCTTTAGTTTTCTGAACTACTATTTATTTTCTATTTTTTTGGTGGACTAACTACACAATTATTTTTTTTAGTATTTTTATATTTTTTATAAGTACCCAATTTTGACGAAACAATCATAATCTTCCACCCCAAAAAACCCCAGATACTAATTTTCAAAAGAATCGGATCATGATTACAAAACCCGTCCGCAATATTGTATCCGCCATATTGAATTTTCCAATTTTGACAAAATCATCATAATCTCCCACCGAGTCTCCCACCCTGAAAACCCCCAGATGCCAATTTTGGATAGAATCCGATCATAAAATTACAATACTCGTCCACCATATTAGATCCGCACTCTTGAATTTCCCGATTTCGCCGAAAGAATCGTAATCTTGAACCCCCAAGACCCCAGGTATCAATTTTGACTACGAACGGATTAATAACAAAATACGTCCGCCATATTGGATCTGCCATGAATTTTCAAATTTTGACGAAAGAATCATAATCTTCGACCCCCAAAACCACCAGATACAAATTTTGTATCGAATCGGATCATAATTACAAACCTCGTCTGCCATATTGGATCCGACATCTTGAATTTACCAATTTTGACGAAAAAATCATCATCTCCGACCTCGAAAACCCCCAGATACCAATTTTGAATCAAATCGGATCATAATTACAAAACTCGTCCGCCATTTTGGAGAGGCCATTTTGTTTTTTTGTCTAACAAAAATATTATGATGTATTGCCACCAGAATGATGTACACCTGCCAAATTTCAAAGCAATCGGCCGTTCAAAGGTTTACGAAGTCGCTGAAGGGCCACCTATACTTTTTTTTCGAATCCCGACTTTATTCTTGGTATCCCGACTTCAAAGTCGGACCCCCGACTTTAATCTCGGGATCCCAACTTCAAAGTCGGGGGTCCGACTTCAATCTCGGGATCCCGACTTTAAACTCGGGTTCCCGACCCGACAGGATCAATCGAAAACCTCCTTTATGTTTTTGGATGTACACTGAAACAATGGTACACTGAATGATAAATACATTATCGTACGTACAGGGTGATTGTTTATATTTTGCTCAATAGCTAAGAATCTCATAGTTGAATAGTTACAAAAAAATGAGTAGAGCTCAGAAAGATGAGTTCAATGATATATGAAGACATGGGTATGAGGTCACCCGTTTCGGACTTTTTCCATAATCTTTCTTCAATGAAAAGCCAAATTTCAAAAGCCTTATAGAAACGTTGAGAATCAAGTTTCCGATCAGTACTTTTCATCATGAATTACCAGATTCTATATGTTATATCGAATTGTGCCGTACAAATTGAGAAGCTACACTTGTAGTGTTTTTCCTGATCTTTCTGATTCTGATGAATGTTTTTGAAGAGTACGTTTCAAAATTTTGAAATTTAAAAAGAAAACGAGTTTTCCAAGTCCGGCTCTGGAATTTGTCTTCCATAGTAGGCCATCGTGTGGTGTGTCAGTAGAGGTAAATTGCTGGTGAATTTCAGGCGAAAACATCAAGACGTTCCTGAAATATCGTTCAACAAAGTTTCGCCCGGAATTCAATTAATGCCCTGTTTTTCTGTTAGGAATAGGCAGAATATATTTTTTCACATATCGGGTGGTCACGAAAAAACCGGAAGTTTTTATTTTCCTCGTGGTTTCATCATTTCTCAACCAAATTCGAATTTCTTGACGTCGTTCCATAGCTAAAGGGCTATAGTATACAGTGGAATATTTGAAAATTTCATAATGAACAAAAACAAAATGGCGGATTCTACCAAAGTATTGTCATTTACAAAAACCGCTGGAGAAAAAGAAAATCAGATTGTTTCCAACCTGTACCGATGTCATCTTAGGCTATTTATTTCTGAAGAGAATGAGTACTGGAACATCGAAATCGAACAAAAAGTCCAGTAGATACGCTCATTTCTTTGCAATTTGTTATGGAGTGAATGTGCTAATCTCGTATAAACGATTATTATCATTATTTTGTTTCAGGCTTCATGAAAATTCAATCGAATTTGGATTTGAGTTATTTCAAAGATAAAGAACTATAGTACACAATCGAACATTTGAAAATCCAATAGGTAATTGAAAGAAACAAAATGGTGGAGAATCCAGAATGTTTGTGATTTTCAAAAATCTCTGGCGAATAAAAAAATGTTTATTCTTCCAATCAGGACAGATGCAATTTAAGATCATTGATTTCTGGAAAGAATGAGCACTCGAACGAGCTCTCGAACATCTGAATCGAACAATAATTAGTCCAGGAGAAACACGTTCTTTTTGGCAAAGTGTTATGAAGTGAATGTGCCAATCTCGTGATAAGAATTACTTTTAGTTTGCTTCTGGCTTAATCAGAATTCGATCGGATTTGGATTGATAAGTACACAGTGGACCATCTGAAAATTCCATAATTGCAAAAAAAAATGGAGTGTCCCTAATTCGAGTGATTTTCAAAAACCGCTAGCGAATAGAAGAATGTGTATAGAGAATTGTTTCTTGATCACCTTCTGAATGACGTGGAAGCAGTCACAGATGAATACACTTTTCAACAAGTTGAATGAAGATTAAAATCACGTTGACCAGTTGATTTTTTAATTCATTATTAAAATTTATAGGATGGTACTCCTGTGCATACGTCGCGCGCAACTGTTGATTATCTCAATAACAGAGTTCCTTATCTAATCGAACCAACAATGTGGCCTCCAAATAATCCGGACTTGCACTCTGTAAATTTTAATGTCTGGGGTACCTTACAGGACCGGGTATTTACAAATGAAAGAAACTTCGAGAACTTGGAAGATGTGAAGCAAATAATTGTTCATTGCGTGGAAAATGCAATGCTTCAGGCAAAAGGGAGACACATTCAGGTCATTTCAAAATTCGTTATGTTTTGACTACCACTAGTATAAAGTTTTATATATTTTCAGGGTTTCACGCAATCTTCATGGACTTAAATCTCGATGTCAATATCAACATTTTTCTATTCGCTAGCGGTTTTTGTAAATCACGAAAGTTAGGGTCTCCACCATTTCGTTTTTTTTTCAATTATGAAATTTTCAGAAGTTCTACTATGTACTACAGCTATTCAGTTTTGAAATGGCATTGAGAAATCCAAATTCGATTGAATCTTCATGAAGCTTGAAGCAAATTAATAATAATCATTTATACGAGATTACATAACAAATTGCAAAGAAATGAGTGTAGGACTATTTGTTCGATTTCGATGTTCGAGTACTCATTCTCTTCAGAAATCAATAGCCTAAGATGCGAGCTAAGATGACATCGGTTCAGGTTGGAAAAAATCTGATCTTCTTTTTCTCCAGCGGTTTTTGTAAATGACAATACTTTGGTAGAATCCGCCATTTTGTTTTTGTTCATTATGAAATTTTCAAATATTCCACTGTATACTATAGCCCTTTAGCTATGAATCGGCGCCAAGAAATTCGAATTCGGTTGAGAAATGATGAAACCACGAGGAAAATGAAAACTTCCGTTTTTTTTGTGACCACCCGATATATATCAACTCACCTTGACTTCCTTTATCCGCCATTAGGCTATGACTGGTTAGTCATTACACCCTGTATATACATACACAACACCCAAATTTCGTTTTTCTATCTTCAATTATAGAAATTTAATAGGGATGAGCCACTTAGAGGATCACCTGGTATACATATAAAATAAGATACAGTCACAAATATTTACATACCTCATAAACATTTGGATGCCAAACTTTAGTCAAAAATCGAATAGACGGTGGAGAATATGGATAATCAAGAGGGAACTTCACTCGTGCCTGAAATAATCGAAAAAGTTATTAAAATTAGAAATTAGTGATACATACAGGTTGTTCCTAAATGATATGCTAATATTGAAGGGGCGATTCTTTCCAGCGAGCACAAACATCCCTGGTATGTTTTGAAAATGTTGGCATGAAGATGTTATTTTGAGACGTAATATGCACTGACCAAAGAGGTCTTTGAAGGATATTGAAGTATTGTTTTTTCTTTTGTGGCATTTCTTTGTTTGCCTACTGAGAGGTATCCCTGGGATGTTTTGGGATGTTTTAGAAATGTAGGCATGAGGATGTTTTTTTGAGGCGTAATATGCACTTCCCAAAGAGGTCTCAGAAGGATATTGAAAGTATTGTTTTTGTTCTTTTGTGCCCTTCCTTTGTTTGCCCCACCACAACGTCTCATGCTTACGTCACAATACGATGAATTCTGATTTGTTTTCGATTTTGTTCTTCTTGTTCGCAATTGGCATTCGCGTTTGCAGCGTGTCACGCTTACATCACGCTGCTAACGAACAGAAAGGAATTTGGTGAAGTTTATTGTGTTAGAAGACTTATTTAGTTTGTAATAATGACCATCAGATGCGAGATGTGTTGTTCGGTGCCCCAGTGTAATCAATATATAAAAGTACGAATTTATCAATACACAGCTTCTCCGCAGTTGCAAAATTATGCATTGTGGAAAAGATTTCAAAAATTGGGAAACCTATTTCCAATTATATGTCTGTGTGTAGTAAGCACTACTCAGAAACCGATTAAGAAGGTAATTTCATATCAAGTAAATATTTTTATGTTCAATCTATTTTTAATGCATTTTTTCATTCAAGGGAAATGGAATCCCAATGCAAAAGTTCCTTTTGACAAAAGGCTTCAGAAAAGTACCTCGAAAATGGTTTTTTTACAGCGATTTAATGTACGCAAGACGCGTTGAAAATGTTCTGTTGTGTCCATGAAAGGGCTTTAAAAAGAACTAGGGAGAAGGTAGTTTTGTGACATATCTAGGACATCTCGATAATTGCCGCCTGCGGTTCATGTGTGAACAGAACATCGCAGTGGAGGTTCAATGTCTCGAAATCTCGTACTTTTAACATCTCTGAGATGTTTTTGTGCTCGCTGGGTTGAACTCATTTCATCATTTCAAGTAAAAACTATGAATGTATGTCGTGAACGTTCTAATTGATTAGAAACAAGGAGGCAAAGTTGATGAAAACTAATGAGATTCATTCAATTACTATGAAACCATTCCAATGCATTGGTGAGACCCTGATGGCTAATGAGACAGTGATAACATTTTGTCAATCGGATTTCCAGTGGCGCCGTTAGGGGGAAATATTTTTTGTGTTTAACTAAAAAGTGAGCGAAGAAAGATAATTTCAATATCATTATCAAACATAGCAATACTATGAGCGCCACAATGGACTTTGTCAATTACATCTCCTCTGCTCTAAATAATAAAAATTATGTATACTAAAGAGCTATCAAAGCCACTCACGAATTTCAACATGAGACGCATTTCGTAATATTAGGCTAATTTTAAGCTGATTTATTAACCCATTCCCGAATTCTTTGGTCCTCTCTCATAGAAAAATCTGTGGCGTTGCTAGCTTCGGGCTAACTCAGCAGAGCCATTTTTGAAAACATTCATTTTTCACCGATTTGATTTATTGAGATTAAATGGCTAATTAATTACCCATTTTTCAAAATTTTTGCTCGACGATTAATTACCCTATCTTCGAATATTTTGCTTAACAAAAAAAATAGAAACGATTTGTTGATATACGCGTTATTTTATTATATTTTATTATTTTACGACGATTTTATAAGGCAAAGCGTTAGTATTTCAATGACTGTCCCATTTTACAATTTTTTGCTGCATATTTTTTGAAAGAAACCTGTGGCTTTGCTAGCTTCGGGCGAACTCAGCAGAGCCATTCTTGAAAAGAAAATATTTTTCACGGATTTGATATATTGGTATTGAAAAGCTAATTTTAGGCTAATTAATTATCCTATCTTCGAATTTTTGCTCAACGTTTCAAAAAAAAAAACGCTTTGTCGAAATACGCGTTTTTCACTTTACTTTATGGATTTCTATCAAAAGCATATTTCATGACGATTTTATACTATTACTTTGCCTCATAAACGTTGAGCAAAAAATTCGAAAAAAGGGTAATTAATTAGCCTAAAATTAGCCATTTGACCCCAATATATCGAATCAGTGAAAAATATATTCTCTTGCCACAACAATTTTTTCTAAAATGGCTCTGCTGAGTTCGCCCGAATGTAAAGCCACACGTTTTTTTTTAAATATGCAGTATAACAATCCAGCTGACAGTTATTGAGCATACCATGAATACTATTGCTCTGCCTTATAACTTCGTCAAAAAACATTTTTTTTATAGAAATGCATAATGTATAGTGAATAACGCGTATTTCGACAAATCGTTCCGTTTATTTTTTGTTTGAATACGTTGAGCGAAAACGTCGAAAATAGGGTAATTGATCGGTTATTAATTAGCCAAAAATTAGCCTTTCAATTACGATATATCAAATATATTCTTTTCAAAAATGGCTCTGCTGAGTTCGCCCAAAGCTGGCAAAGCCACAGGTTTCTTTTAAAAAATATGCAGCAAAAAATTACAAAATGGGACAGTTATTGAGCTTACAATCACCACTAACACTTTGCCTTATAAAATCGTCATAAAATATGCTAACGATATATCAAATCAGTGAAAAATATATTATTTTCAAAAATTGCTCTGCTGAGTTCGTCCGAGGCTAGCAAAGCCACAGGTTTCTTTTACAAAATATGCAGCAAAAAATTCCGAAATGTGACAGTTATTGAGCTTACATTACAATCACTACTAATGATTTGCCGTTTAAAATCGTTATAAAATAATCTTTTGATAGAGGTGCATAATGTATAGTGAATAACGCGTATTTCGACAAATCGTTTCGTTTTTTTGTTTTGTTTGAAACCGAGTTTGAAACGTTGAAAACTAAACTCCCATCCTTGTGTATTTTGAAAAAGTTATGATTTTTTTTTGAAATTTCAAAAAAGAGGCCTGATGTGGGGTTAATTCTTGCCCGACAAAATATTCTGAGATATATACATCATCAAGTACCATCAGAGAAACACATTTATGAAAAAAAAAAATTTCCATCCACGTGTATTTAAAAAAAGTTATATTTTTATTTGAAATTCCAAAGAAGGGGGCCTGTGGGGTTAATTCCTGCCCGACAAAATATTGTGAGATATACATATCATCAAGTACCATTAGTGGAACACATTTATGGAAAAAATCTCCCATCCACGTGTATTTTGAAATAGTTGTGATTTTTTCGAGATTTCAACAAACGGGCCCTGTGGTGTTAATTCTTGTGAGAAATAAACATCATCAAGTACCATTAGAGGAACAAATTCATAGGAAAACACTCCCATCCACGTGTATTTTGAAAAAGTTATGATTTTTTTTTTCGAAATTCCAAAAAGGGGGCCTGTGGGGTTAATTCTTGCCCAACAAAATATTGTGAGACATACACATTATCAAGTACCATTGGAGGAATACATTCATAGAAAAAAAACTCTCATCCACGTGAATTTTGAAAGTTATGTTTTTTTTTCGAAATTCTGAAAGGGGGGCTGTGAAGTTAATTCTTGTCCGACAAATTATTGTGAGATATACAGATTATTAAGGACCCTCAGAGAAATACATTGATGGAAAATAGTTTCATCCAAGGACATATTTTGGAGGTTTTAGTAATTTCATGGTCATATGGAATATAAATTAATAATGAACGACCATTGGTGGTATGGCGCGCGCCTGGAATATTAGGCGAAGTCGTGGCTGGAACTCGTGGCTGGTTTCACACTGATGCCTGTGGGCCTGTGGTTGATTCTTACCCGACAAAACATTGCGAAATATACACATCATCAAATTAACATCAGAGTACGACATTTTATGGAAAAAACTCTCATCCAAGTGTATTTTGAAAATGTTATGATTTTTTATCGAAATTTCAAAAAAGAGGGCCTGTGGGGTTTATTTTTTAGCCTACCCTTAGAGGAATACATTATTGGAACATAGTAATTTCAGCCAGCCACGAGTATAAATAAGTGATAAACGACCATTGGTGGTATGACGCGCGCCTGCCTCGAATAATTGGCGAAGTTGCCAGTTTTCAGTATTGTCATAACTTCATTATCAACGCCAGAAAATATAAAATGAAAAAACCAAAAATTCAGTTTTTGAACATAACCGAGAACATAACTCATAAACATAAACTAGTGTGCAACTAGCTCGCAACTAGCAACAAGGTAAATATGAACATTTGTGATATAGAAAATGGCACATATCCACAAGGCCCATCAATAAGAAACGATAAGAAACCTACTAAAAAACCGGAAATTATCTAAATAAAAGGTTAATACTCAAAATATCATATGGGTGTTAAATATTATGTATTTTTGAAGAGCACAAAGCATCAATGATTCAAATATGAAAAAATATTCAGTGTTTTACTAAAAAAAAACATATTTAAATAATAACAGCTTATGTCAAAAAACTTACTACGCCACTGAATTCTACATAAAAAATTTACTAGACAGTTTTATCCTTGGGTTTTCCTTTTCCTATAAATTGATACAAAAGGAGTCCCACAATGCAACATTTCCAATGTTCCCCTGTATCTCAACAATGAAACAGGCTATAAAAATGTTGTTTGAATATCATGAGTTTCACAAGGTAGTGACCATCATTTGCAAAAACTGCAAATAATCTCTATATTTGAAAATAAGTGAGATATCTGATAAGGACATGTCAGAAACTCATATTGATTCAAACTATACATATGTTTGGACTACCTTTCATTATTAGCCATAATCAAAATTGCAAAAACATACACATTGACATTGGTTATTTTTTATTCTGATGAATGCTAGTCAAGAATTCTCTGAAGGATCCAGAAAGATCACACCTGGATTTCCACACTTTCTTTAAATTCAAGTCTCAATGGTAGACTGTGTTTTTGAAAATTATTTCAGAAATTATCAAGATATTTCCTATGCTCAAGGACCTTTTCAGTGATTCGTTAGTGAGACATAGAACATACAGGTTGATCCCTTTGAAATAATAAAGTTATAGCATAGCCCATTTATGATAGCAGTATTATCAAATATAGTAGGAGTTAGAAATAGTTTAGTTGTAGTCAACCAATTTGGCATGAGCCACAGCTTTCAGAAAAGTTGATTTATTCATTCAATTCAGCCATTTACTACCAACTACTGAACCATAATGCCTAATATATGCTCTTGGTGTTTGCTAGTTGCTAGTGGTGGAAAAATAAATATTTGGCAGATTTGGATTACATCAAAATTTACACCAATTCACACATTATGATAGATAGGATTATAATCATGAGTAGGTAAATGAAACAAAGAGTAATATATTTCAGTAAGTAAACTTCATATTCAGAGCTCAGAATGTGTGAGGAATTCAATTGCATTATTTATTGTTTTGAAAAATCATGAAACATCTAATCTAACAGTATTTGTAACAATATAATTCAATAATAATAAGAACTATACCAAATGCTCATTTGAGAAGTGAGCTTAGCATATTTCTGTATCAGCTTATTTAAAATTCAAACTTGAACATGGCCTTCAATTAACAAAGTAGAAAGTGAAAACTTGTGATTTGGTAATATTCTAATGAACAGGAAATAGGAATCATTGCATTGAGACATGATTGATTGATATAGTTTACCTTTAAAAATCATTATAAAATAATCATTATACATTCACAGTTACTTTGAGGAGATCAGCAAATGGGAGGGCATAGCTCTAACTCCAGCTCTGACAACTAGGTTCTAGTATAATATTTGTCTTTCTTGGTGAGAGTTATATAATTGAACTCATCAATTAGATCTAGGATGTTTATTCCACAGTTAAGTACAACTCTTTTTGTACCCAGGAGTGCCTACTTACTTTGAAACATCCTCCCATGTAGAGGGTATCAGGAGGTCCAAAAATAGCAACTTCCCATTCGAACAGATTGTCCTCATTCACGAGTTTTACACAAAATCCTTCCACAGGTTCTTCTTGAAGACTTTTGTATTCAACAGCGAGAGCGCGAAGAGCACTACTAGTTGCTTTTGTATTAGCCATTGTATCTCACAATCACTAGAATGATTGTCTGTAAAGATTTCTTTTTGCAAGAAGCAATTGTCCGTAGTTACTTTTTATTGACTACACAAGAAGAATGGTCTTTTTTCTTTTCAGAACTCACAACTCACGATGAACTATTTTGAGAACAAATGATTTTTTTCAATGATACATAAAGAACAATAAACAATTTTATTATAAAAACGTAGAACAAAAAATGACAAGAGTGAAAAGTGACAAAGAAAAAGCGACCATGAATATGACATATGACATGACCTGACGATCAGCTGACCGAAACACCTGACATTTGACACCTCTTGACAGTGACATTCCTATCAGTGTTGCCACTACAAAGTTTCTAGTAGCAGAGCTCTCGGCCGGAATTTTTTTGAAGATTGATTAATTCCGCTCGCTAATTTTTGTCTATTATTAACTAACATTCTTAATTCGAATTTACCGCCAATATCAGTGATTTGAGTCTACCGCCATAGCCCAAATCACTCTGATTGGTCTCCTACATATGTTTGGGAAAACGTCCCTGTTCATCGCTCTTTGGATACAAAACATTCAACAATCAGACATGAAACTACGAAAGCACCCTGGTGTCACGCACACTTTTCTTTCTTTGGAAACTCATTATAATGACTTTTTTCTCATTATAATGAGTTTTTTCTCATTATATTGACTTTTTTCTCATTAAATTGACTTTTTTTTCATTATAATGACTTTTTTCTCATTATAATGAGTTTTTTCTCATTAAAATGAATTTTTTCTCATTATAATGAATTTTTCTCATTATAATGAATTTTTTCTCATTATAATGACTTTTTTCTCATTATAATGAGTTTTTTCTCATTATAATAACTTTTTTCTCATTATATTGACTTTTTTCTCATTATAATGACTTTTTTCTCATTATATAGGTATAATGACTTTATTATTATTCGCCTTTATATTTTCTGTGTAAACATGATTTCTTTGGTTTAGATTATCATTATTAATTAGATTTCTTATGATTTATATCAAGATGGATGTGGTGGCCAATTATATTGCATACTACTTTTTATTGGGTCTTAGTTGCGAAGAAATTATGGCTTTCCTGACGGTATATCATAAACAGTGTATAAGTTTATCAACAGTTAAACGAATATTGAAGATAATGGGCTTCTACAGAAAGAAATATTTTATAGCCGAACAAGTTGAGAAGTACGGACAGTTACACGGCTATCGATGGATGCATTTGAAATGCATCCAGCAAGGATTTGTAATTACGAATAGAAGTGTGAGAATTATATTGAAAGAATTGGACCCTATTGGTGTTAGTATTATACGAAAGCACCCTGGTGTCACGCACACTTTTCTTTTTTTGAAAACTCATTATAATGACTTTTTTCTCATTATAATGAGTTTTTTCTCATTATATTGACTTTTTTCTCATTATATTGCCTTTTTTTTCATCATAATGAGTTTTTTCTCATGAAAATGAGTTTTTTCTCATTATAAATGAATTTACTTTCTTTCTTCGGAGTCTTCTCCTGCTTCTAAGACTAACACCAATAGGGTCCAATTCTTTCAATATAATTCTCACACTTCTATTCGTAATTACAAATCCTTGCTGGATGCATTTCAAATGCATCCATCGATATATAGCCGTGTAACTGTCCGTACTTCTCAACTTGTTCGGCTATAAAATTCAAAACTTCTGGTAAGGGAGTAAAATATTTCTTTCTGTAGAGGCCCATTATCTTCAATATTCGTTTAACTGTTGATAAACTTATACACTGTTTATGATATACCGTCAGGAAAGCCATAATTTCTTCGCAACTAAGACCCAATAAAAAGTAGTATGCAATATAATTGGCCACCACATCCATTTTGATATAAATCATAAGAAATCTAATTAATAATGATAATCTAAACCAAAGAAATCATGTTTACACAGAAAATATAAAGGCGAATAATAATAAAGTCATTATACCTATACAGTGTGTCCATTTAGTGCGTAATTCTTCGATATCTCGAAATCAATTATCACAAGAGAAGAACTTTGGAGAAGAAACTTTGTAAGTTACTTATGACTTTCGAGATATCGAAGAATTACGCACTAAATGGACACACTGTATAATGAGAAAAAAGTCATTATAATGAGAAAAAAGTCAATATAATGAGAAAAAAGTTATTATAATGAGAAAAAACTCATTATAATGAGAAAAAGTCATTATAATGAGAAAAAATTCATTATAATGAGAAAAAATTCATTATAATGGGAAAAAATTCATTTTAATGAGAAAAAACTCATTATAATGAGAAAAAAGTCATTATAATGAAAAAAAAAAGTAAATTTAATGAGAAAAAAGTCATTATAATGAGAAAAAAGTCATTATAATGAGTTTCCAAAAAAAGAAAAGTGTGCGTGACACCAGGGTGCTTTCGTAGTATTAGAAGCAGGAGAAGACTCCGAAGAAAGAAAGTAAATTCATTATAATGAGAAAAAACTCATTTTCATGAGAAAAAAGTCATTATGATGAGAATAAAGTCAATATAATGAGAAAAAAACTCATTATAATGAGAAAAAAGTCATTATAATGAGTTTTCAAAAAAAGAAAAGTGTGCGTGACACCAGGGTGCTTTCGTATGAAACTCTTTATGTCGGTACCTTCGTATATGAACTATCAGAATCCGTCTTTTTGAAAAAGTGAATCTCAAATTGTTACACCAGGTATGCACTTCAAAGGCGCAAATTCATAACTGCATGTGAGATATCCTTACGATTTTCAGCTATTCAGTGCCTTGAACAGGCCTTGACCACGAATGACCATCCGGAAACGGCAGCCATGTTGAGGTCAATTGTCGCCACTCTATCATTTTTTTTTTTTTCGATTTATTTACGAACCAAGAGAATGAGACATTCTATCCTATAACTAAGTAACTTACAATTACAGAAGAGTTGGACATTAAGATGGAAAATATATGTGATGAATCTAAATAGAGTGACCTTATTAAACAGCATAGGCATAGATGATGTCCTCAAAGCGGGACCAACTTCTGTCTCTGGGCACACTAGAGCACAGTAGAGAGCTCTCTACTGTGCTCTGGGTCCCTTGATGTAAATTGGCGTATTTGTTATCTTCCGGACAGATCATCGTCTCCTCTCACTCTAAAGTGTTTGTGAAATAGTTATATAGTTCCATCTTTATTCATTTCTGACATTTGTTGTTTTTTAATTAGGTTATATTGAGGACATTGGCGTATCATACGTAATTTCCACATGTGATTTCACATTCAACTTTACATATTATATCCAAATGATAATGATAATTTTCGAGTTTTTCACTTTTCAACTCCAGCATAATCTTTGAAAGGCAGTGAGCAAATTTTTCTGAAAGTTTAATATGTTTTACCTGTTTCACTAAATGGGACTGTTTTTAGGCAGTACCTATCAATGAATGAATTTTGATTTCAGACTAAGCCTTATGGTTGAGAAATGGTGAAAAATGTTAAGTAGGTACCCAAACTAATGTGCTCATATGTCATGTATGCTGTATATATTCATGTTGGGAATCATTTTTGCAGTTTTTCACGAACACTCAATATTTCCTGAATGTGGATACTTATAATTTTTCAAATGGTAGGGCATTTATGCCTCTTCATCAAATTCTCCGTTTTATTCAAAACTGTTGCTACTAAAATGCATTCCAAAAACTTGCGGAGTGGATAATTATAGGCACGATGATTGATACAGCCCTCAATACAGCCTAACGCAGCACATTTTACCATCCTTCCAAAACAGAATTGAATAAAGTATTAAGATCAAGTACGAAATTAAAATTTTTTTAGATCTCTTTTAACGCCTATGAATGTGACGTCACAGCAATGTCATGTCAGGGACGTGAATACACGAAACCAAATAAGTCACTAGATGATTAAAAGAGAAAGGAGCTATGATCTGTCCGTACCCTGTTGGATTTCAAATACGTCAGTTTGCATCAAGGGAAAGGGACCCTATCTATAGGCGTTGATTGATATATTATATTTACGCTGCGTGCCAATCAACGCTTATGATTCAAAAGTTACGGGCGTGTTTTTCATTCCATCGAAGAAAGTGCGCACTGATAGATGCGGTTTTTTGTCGTGACGTCACCAATTGTTCTGTTGGAATTTATGCTGGAAGGATTGAACAATGGTTTATACAACACATTGATGGAAACACGGATTTTGTTGTGTGTCACTGACCCTTTCTTCTAAAATCTCTCAAGAATCTCAAAAATCCTCAATATTAATTGTTTTCTATCGAATCAAAACAAAAAAACACTAAAATGTGTCAACTGTCATGTCAATCTCCTCCAAACTGCTGGATTCTCGAAATGCGATTTGAAAGTGCGCATTTTATTACAACAGTTTGATGGATGTCCATCAACATTCTAGCGGAATTTTGCAACAGTTTGATGGTTTCTTCGATTCATGCGTATGATAAATTGTTGGAATGAAAAACGCACCCATTGAACAATGGTTTATACAACACATTGATGGAAACACGGATTTTGTTGTGTCAGTAATAATGTATCTTGAGAATCAGAAGAGGCTAATTCGATTTTATTGATTAACACTGACTCTTCCTTCTGAAATCTCTCAAGAATCTCAAAAATCCTCAATATTCATTGTTTTCTATCAAATCAAAACAAAAAACAACACTAAAATTTGTCAACTGTCATGTCAATCTCCTCCAAACTGCTGGATTCTCGAATAGCAATTTGAAAGTGCGCGTTTCATTACAACAGTTTGATGGATATCCATCAACATTCCAGCGGAATTTTGCAACAGTTTGATGGTTTCTTCGATTCATGCGCATGATAAAATGTTGGAATGACAAAACGCACCCTACCTCTCATTTCGCGATGCGTCATATATAGAAATAGTAGATATATGCCTCTCAAACTTCTGACAGTGACGCCAGTGACAGGACGACATGGCTGACAGGAGTGACATGACATGAGACATGAGCATTGAACACTGGACAATGAGACCGTGGAGTATGGACGACTAGGTCATATTTTCAATTTTCAATTTTACATCGTCAGAGAGAAATCAGAATAATATTTTTGTAATTTGTGGAATGGACTCTGATTTCATTTATGCATATACAGTTATTCCCGTCTTTTTATAATATATCAGTATAGCTATTTGCATCTGCTTTAATTTTCTTCTGCAGTAAACTCCATATTTCAAAGTGTATAATTACTTCCCCAAACCTAAGAATGCCTTTGCCTAGTGCGCAATACGACTTGACAGTGTTTTGATGGTATTTTGTGGTTCGCGAGTGTTAAAATCTAATAATAATGGCGAATCCTAGGAAATTTAGTGAAAAAATTGCTCTCCACAATCACCGTCAAGCTGAGGAAACTGCAGCATTCGAACAAATCATGAAAGAAGTGATAGAAGTAACCGCGAAGGTATGTGAAATGTATAATAATAATAATGAACCCAAACCTCTATGTATCATTGTTGAAGTAAACAATGTTCAACTGTTGAGAAGTTATGGGAATTTATAATTAAGCTATACTATTCCTGTGAAGGTGGTGGAATATGTCATTGTCTACTTGCCATTCCCTAACATCTAAAACTCCGCATTTTAGTCTGGAGAATTGATGTATAGTAAGATTTTGGTCATAACATTTTATGACAATCAATACCTACAGTGAACTTCATATAAGATCCAACAGTCCAACACTTTCAATTGATGAATAATGCAGGGCTGAATTTAGTTTTGATTGGGCCCTGATTTGAAATATTGGGCCGGACCTGCTGCAATGGGACAAATAATGCCCTTTGGGGGCTCCCAAGAAAGAGGAGGCCCTAAGCTATAGCTTGTGTAGATTATATCAATTAATTATACTTTATTATTTTTTATGCTAGTCTGAGGGCTAGTCCTTTTCCTTTCCCTGATTTCAACAAGTACTATTGTATTATTCTTCATAGATTAAACCGAGGATTAAACTTACTACTGAAAATTATATTAATTATAATTTATAATTGATAATACCCTGGTGATGGTGAGCATGAAATAGGATATAAATGATGAATGCTCCAACTTCAGAACAAACTAGAAGGCCATAGCCAAAAGTCTTTCAGATAAGTACTACAAAGACATTCACAAACTGTTCCTGTGAACATGAAGATTTACCTTGGTGGATCATAATAATTAATGCCCTATCTCTTTGGCCATACCATTATGAGAAAAAATCAAGTACATTTTTATATCAAATAACAAATGTAGAGTTGAAATAAATTCTAGGTTGCTCCCGATCGGGATTCAGGAAAAAATACTCTCCATATCAACACTCAGACTTTGGGCTCCTTTAAAGGGGGGTCTCTTCCTAACGTTTCAGCTGGAGCCCATAGCAACAAGTCCCCAATGCAAAATACAAATTCTGAAAAGGTGATTCATCCTCAATGCACCATAGATGTTGTCAGTTATTGTTATTATATTTCCGGCTTTTTATCATGTCCTAAAAAACGATTTTAATTTTTTTCTGAATTGTTTAGTGCTTATTGCATGTAGCAGGCAAATTTCATGTTGCATGTTACACATATCAAATAGTATTATTAAGTGTCCTAGGAGGTGTCATATAAACAAAGAAAAGAAACTGGCTCTAACAAATCCTGTACATCATATTATAAAATTGAAATTTTCCATAATTAAGTTTTCAAGTTCAACCAGTGTGAAAAAGAAGGATCCATCAAGGGATCTATTCCCCACCAGAATCATGTAGTATTCTCAAGAAATTTTTGCTTTAGGTATATTTCTGTCAATCTTATGGTAGTATTTCGATATTAGTAATTGAAGATATTATCAAAGTTTAAAATGAGGAAGAGATTTTTATTTACATTTTATCCAGCATTTGATCATGTCCTGGGAATAGAATTGACAATGTTTTTCTAAAACCTAACATTCCTCATTATAGTTGGCTACTATGACCTCATTGTATATTATTTTTGTGATATTGATTAATTTGTTATTTGTTATCAAATAATTTCCAGATTAGGTATATTCTTTCAGTAACAGTTTTCACATGGTTCTTTTTTGTGTGTATACATACACATAAAAAAATCGCAGCAGCTGGTTGTTTAGTGAACATAAACTGCTCCAAGAATGGGATATTAATTGTATATTTTGCAACCCATTACTTTCTTATAGTGTATAAATACTGGAATGCTCACTTGAATCATAACAACATTCAACAATTAGTCATGTGTTATCAAATCTCAAGTTTTCTCTTAATTCAATTTGGTGTTTTCAAGAAATGCACTTTTTTTTCTATTTTTTCATGTTTCTGTGAGGTTGAATTCCATTAGATAAGCAATATATTAAAAGGCCAGCTTAAAGGCAAGCTTAAAGGTCACCTGATGGTTGTTGGTATGTATAGTTGAAAACTATATAGCTGATCATAAATGATTTTATCAATTTATGATAACACATGATTATATCTTGTGATGTCCGTTTCTTCGTTTCCTATGATATGGAAATAAATGGTACTCGGAAATTTCCGAGAAGAAATTGTAAAGTGAAATAGTTGGACCTCCGATTGGATGATTGGACATATCTCGAAAAGAGTGGACGGTATCAAGAGGAGATGAACCAAGACATAATCCGTCCATTATTGCAGTGTTTTCTGAAATATTTGATTTCAAAGAAAAAGCTCTTGTTTTTCAATTTAAAATATACTTTTTTGTCTGACGGGAAGAAATTTTGACATTCATCTCTGTTGACGGGTTATAAAATGTCACTTTTCATAAATTAAATTTTTTCCACGGAAAAAAAGTGAGTAGGTCCGATTTTCCCGGATATATATATATATATATATATATATATATATATATAGATAACTAAACGGTCATTGTTGAGCCCGATCAGCATATGAACGGTACGTAGTGGAGCCCGAAGGAACGTTGTTGAGCCCGGTTTCGGGCTCAACAACGTATCGCCCTGTATCTCTTCACTGAGTGGTCAGAATTGTTTGAGAAGCCATTTCCCGCATTTTTGGTCGGGCTCCACAATATACCGATAATATAACCTACATACAGCGAAAACTTCGGAGATCGGCCTGTAGAGGGCGCTTTTTTGTATATAGGGATATACACTTCAGATTTGTATAAACGTTGTTGAGCCCACACATGATTGTATCGTTGTTGAGCCCTAAATTTGGCAACGTCGCAATTGTTGGTATTTAGGATATACAATTTGTCCTGGGAGCTCTGCATCATGATGATGATGTGAAATAAGAATGTAATACTAGCACGTGAGAGTCTTAAGAAAAGTGTCCTGATCATTATGTACCCGATAAACAACTAAGAACGGCTGTCATTCCTATCATTCTTCCAATTTCGATAGTTAATATCTTCCGTTGGCGAGAAGCTATTATGTTGCGGTTTCCGTTGGTCTGTTGAGATTCAGTTTCTCTATTACATCGTGTAATCAAACTTGTATCATTATTCATTGCTGAAATATGGCCGACAGCCGTTCTTAGTTGTTCACCCTGTACAACTCTATTTCGTTTTGATATTTGACAAAACGATAAAAAATCTCGAGCGGATAATCAATCTGTTTCATGAATGCAGGGAGAAAATTCTATTTGTTGACGAGTTCCATATCAGGTAATACCTGAGTTGTTAAAACACTCGACAGGGTTGAATTACTTGAGTTTCTGTGTTTTTTTTCAATTTATATCGGAGTTTTTTCCAATAAGCTTATTCCCTACAATAAGCACTGCGAATTGAATACATATCAGATCATGATACAGGTAGTTTGATGCTTCAGGCAAATATTCGATGCCTCATGCTACAGAGTCAGATTCATTCTTGGCTTGATTATCAGTGCATGAATAGCAGAGCATTGTCTGTTGGTATAGCTGAAAAGGAACAAATCTTGTCCTAGAATGATTGAAGTGTACCTTCGAATGTGAGTAGTTCAATTCAGCTTCTTTTTTTTCACTTGCAAATCGTTTAAATAAATATTGAGTAACGTTCCGGAATAAGATCATGAGTATGCATAGATCATTGATTTGATCTCGCAAAAAGGAAAGGTTGTAGATCTAAATATGATAATAATTGGATCTGTAGCCAAAGCTGTGGCTCTCCTATTTTGACCATGGATGAAGATGGATTGTGCAACTCTCTGAATGCAAAAAAAAAATCAGTGATTTCGCTACCATGTTTCCGAACATGTCAACTCCATGTTTTCTGGCAAAGATTCTTGCGCACTCTCCAACTCATCAACGATCCTATTTATCAACGACCAAGCTCATCAACTATCAACGACTCGACTCATTAACGGTCAACTAATCAACGATTCACCTCATCAACGACCTAACTTTTCAACCAACCTAACTCCTCAAAAAACAAACTCATCAACAACCCAACTAATCAACGGTCAACTCATTAATAATACTACTGATTAACGACCAAAGTCGTAAACGGCCAGATTCATCAACGAAATACCAATCAAAGAGTCGAATCTTCAACGACTCAACTTATCAACAATACTCGCCTCATCAACGATACCCGACACAAATCATCAACGACACAACTTATCAACGAGTCGAATCGTTGAGGACCAAACTAATCAACGGCCCATCTCATCAACGATCCGATTCATCAACGACCCAACTCATATTAACGATCAACACATTAACCACCCACCTATTTAACAATCCATCCCATCAACGAGTCAAATCATCAACTACCTAACTTATCAACGATCAACACATTAACGACTCAACTCATCAACAATCAACTCATCAACGACTTGACTAATCGATTCACCTCCTCGACGACCTAACTAATCAACCAAGCTAACTCATCAACGAAACAACTCATGAATACCCAACTCACCATCCAGGCAACCAGATGACGTTTCGGAGACTTCTTTTCACGTCAGTCACAACCCAATGACGTCATATTACTTACGTTTATTGACGTCATTCACTCACCAAACTGTGACGTCATGCTGGCGTCAAAATTACGTAAAAATGACGTTCAAATTTGGTGATAACACAATCACCACTGATCTCTGATAACATATAATATTGATTATGCATTGTTGAGTCTACTTGGTGGTCCCTCCGGTGTCATGTCCATTCAATCGTCTATTCAGCAGCGCTATCCCTCAGTACCATCAGAATGAAATCAGTTACTCGAATTTGTGTAACATATTATGTAGTTTGTGTCGGTGAGATGTGAGAAAACCAAAAATAGTTCAATAGCAATGAAAACGATTTATATTCATAAATTATTTGTCACCCAACAAAAATCTGAATAGCAAAGTATTGAAAAATTTCTGAATGACGGAGCTCACCAAATTGGTACGTCACACCGACGTGATTTTTAGACGTCATAAATATGTCACTGCAAAGTCATTGAAGTGACGATTTCAATATAGGTAAACCTATTTGAG